TGCTTAGTTTTATTATATTTTCCTTGGTTTAATTTAATCATTGGTGTGGCAAAACACAAATAATAAATTTATCAAATAAAGTAAATGTGAACTGAAATCTATGTTAAGATAAAATAAGAGTATTTTGTATTACCATTTGATAATTAAATATAGTTACACATATACAACAGATTTTAGTACACAAAAATCAACGACGTACAATTTAGTTATTGATGTTATTCTTTAGTTTAATTTAAGCATTGGTTTAGCAGAAGACAATAACTAAATTTACCTAACTACACATATAAAAAAACAATGTGATGTGCAAGTTATGTTAAGTTAATCTAACACATGTTAAGCAGTTCTAATTTATTTAAAGTAGCCTCCAAATTAATATAAATCATCTATACATTGTAATTTTCTTACTGTTTCATGAAAATATATCAATAACATTATTTTCATAACACTTAAGACACTTTAAAACACGAAAGCAGAACCTGAGTTGATACAGCTACGCTTTTAGAATTTTTTTTTATTTCTATAATCACTGACATAGTTTTTTTAATAAATGATCTTTGATAAATTTTTAGATTAAATAAACCAACCACATAATTGTGTGAAATATTATATTTAATTTCATTGGATCAGCTGTCTTACATTGTGAAATATGCAATTTGGCAGTTCTTCTTGTTTACATTGAAATGTCATAGCAAATGTAAACATTGTGAGTATTCTCATTGCAGCCATGGAAACCAATCAATATTTACTTTTAAAATCCTCACTTCAGAACGTTTAAAGCCAAAGGGGCAAAGCCCACGGTCAGTATCGAAGTGTGAATAGTCCTATAATGGTCCTTGGTATGGTAGCTATATTTTTATAAAATTTAAGCCCAGTTGGTTAAGTAGTTTTTGTAACTATTAGTAACACACATACAGAGAGACACCATTAGATTTTTATATAAAGTATGGATGGATTTGATTTAAATGACTTTGTTTCGCAAAATATTTTGAAGAGTCATTGAAAAATGAAAACGCTCAAATTGTGTAGGTATATCTCCTGAAGTAGTTAAAACGTATGACTATCGTCGATAGTTTGGGTGTAATCTACAAAGTGACGTATATTCGTAGCAACATGTAGGTGATTGCACAGACATATAATCTTTATTGAGGTTACTACCTTTACTTGTTTATTTTACACTTTTTATCAAATTAGAAACTTGATTGGACAGCAATAATGTGGCGTAAATTAACTGTAATCGAAAGCACTTCTGATTTAAAGCACATACATTGTCAGAAGTCTACTGGTGTTTTTACTCAACAGTTAAGGAACGTTGGCATGATTTAGAATAAGATCTATCGTCCAAATTAGCATAGAGTCCGCACGCACACAAGAACTGAAACTAGTAAGCTACCAATTATTATACACTTACATAATTGCATTCTAAAACGTAACCTTTGCTGTTTCCCCTCCCCTCATCCTAAGTAACATGGTTCTGGACAATTTTGAACTTTTCTCAACTGCTTACTGAGTCACAGCATTATCATTTACAGTAACACATATCTGTGATTGGTAACATTTAACCCATGGCCTTCAGAATTAAGAAATCACGAAGTCAAGACGTTTGGCCAATATTACATTATGCTTTCATACTTAAGTCTTAAGCATAGAGTACAGGACGCATAGTGCATTTTCTGTTACAAATAATTTGTACCACAAGACGCAATTAGTAGTTACTTATAACAAATTAAAAAAATAACATGGTAAAACTTTATACAATTTAGTTGAGTGATATGGAGTTAGCTCTCACCGTGTAAATGTATTGAGGCATATATTCCCTAACAGCCGTTAGCTGTGCCCGTGCTGTTGTGTATCGATTGCTATGTCTCTAGGCCCGCGTCTGGCGGAGGATAGCATGTTGCATGCATGGCAGTGACTGTCGCCGTCGCCACTAACACTAACAACACACTATAGAAATAAAGCACAATACTACAGTACTACACTATCAGTTATACTACTCTAAATTACAACAACACAGTACTACACTTTAGTTCCAATAGTTTTGTATATCAATCACATTTTTCTATCACTTCTTGCTTGAAAACACTGTTTGTATGCACGATCTGTCAAGCATCGTTCGTTAACCATCTGTCTTCGTCAAAACTGTTTGCCGAACTATTTTGCCAAGCACAATTTTCCGATAGTTGTTCAAGCATTATTTGCCAAACATTGTTTGTTAAGCAGTCTGTAAAGCAGTGTTTGTCAAAGAACCGTTTACCAAGCACTGCCCGAAATTCTGCGGGTACCATTGTATTTAACCACCGCGGAATATGAACACGAAATACAAACACTAAACCACGTTCACTGTATAATACCTCTTTCAATTTCAATCATATTTTTATTTGTTGTAAAGATCCAGACTTGTTGTTTTGCCTGTGTAATTTAATATATCAATGCTTCCTTAGCTAGTGTACAGTTTTATACGTTTACTGCACTGTCTATAATCAGGTTTTCTCCAAAAGATTTAGGTCGAAATGTAATGTATTTATTATACAACATACTACATAATTAATATTGTCATTATTGTGTCCATTTTTGGTCACGAACAAAAAAATAAATAGCTAACATTAGCTATCAAACAATGCAATAACCAATAGCACGACGAATAGAGTATGAAAACTCTCACTGATATAACCAATGTACCTTTTTTGCTACTTTGCTAGATATCATAGCTCCCTTTGCCACTACGATAGGAAAATTTGTTGGCTCACGTCAATATGGAAAAAAGGTTACAAAAAGACTTTTGAAATCAACACGATTTAACACATCACTAGTTCATCATTAGTTTACATGTCGTATGGGGCAACATAAGACTACATTTTCAATATGTTAAATCTGAAACTAATCTCGAACTTGTGTATTTAATGATGAAGAAAATTAGTAGTACAGTATATTCGGTTAGCTTGAGAACCAATAGAAACATCGTCATGAGACTTTGTAACTCGTCGAAGAACCGCCAAGTTGAGTATGGCAGTCACGTAGACGTAACGGTTTGAATTCTCCCTCGAACCTAATAACTGAGCGATATTGATCATCCCTATACTAGGAGAGTCTGCTCCTGCAAATGTGCTGTAAATAGACTTATGACACAAACTGTAAACATTTGACTACTCAAAGTTCTTAAAGTATACAAAAGATATTTTTTTCCAACTTAAGTTAAGTTGTTCACCAATCTAGTTTTGTCTATTTTTCACCTGAAGATGGGATCATATTACATATCCCGAAACGTTGTGAAAACTGTTTTTTTTACTAACCGTGATTGAAAACAATCCCACAAACGCCATAAACCAGTCATCACAAAAAATGAACTTTTAAAGTCTAAGGATGGCTACGGATTGTACATGAAGTAGTACAATAATATTTTAAAATAAAATGCATAATCATAGATTAAAGGAGTAGAGCACTCTACTCCTTTACCACTTAGGTAGAGGAAACAAAGTAGAACAACGTACACTTAGGTTACACAATGAGGAAATAAGTATTCCACATGAGTAGTTTCTTAATCGATATTGTACGTGGTTTTATAATCACAGATTTATAATCACGTTAACCATACGTTGATATACATTTACAGTTTGTACCAGAGCGAGTAAAGAAAACTGGTACAGTTTAGTGAGTAAAATGTTGAGATGTTCCATGTGTCTCGACGTAGAGCCAGTTTATCTTGTACAGCCGTGAGCTACGTCATGTTATATTTTCTCTGGAGATACAGTATTGCTGTCTTAAATGTTTACTGCAAACGCTCAAATTCCAACCTTATACCAACCAACGAACCAACCATCTCTTAAAATAATAGCATTTTTATATCATTAAATGATTAAATAATATTGGCACATGCATTAATTCATTGAATGTTTAATTTTGAGTAATGTGTAATTCATGCAAACTACTTTTGAAATCTAAAATAATATATTCAAGTTTCCACAATCCATGGGACTACCTTGATATACATCTTGAAACCATTTAGAATGTATGCTAATTTATGTATTTTTTTACATAAAAAAATCTAATAATAAATCATATTATAAAAATAAAATATGGTTTGCCTTTACATAAAGATAGCAGAGAAAAGTGTTCTCTCCTGCTAAACTGAAAAACTCATGCATAACTTTAAACATGTATGATGATTTAATGTAGAAAACGTGTGCGTGTTGATATGCAGATTGACTATGTAATCATATCCAAGTAGTAAAATATAAATATGTTTTGTACAAATCTGGTCTTTCCTAATGCATCGTTATGCGAGCGTTCTTAACGTTTGATAGCGTCAATTTCTCGTAATGTGTGACAGGTTGAAATTTTACTTTTACATTTAAATACGAAAATCTTTGCATCTTTGCATTCAAATTAAATATTGCACATTTTCAGTAATTAATATGAAAACCTGTAGTACAAACTTTAGTTGTGTTACGAATAAATATCCAACATATCCCTGTTTCAGAAATCCTGGTCTTTTGGCTTTACTGAAAATGTGCGCCGTAATGCCAGTTTCCCACCTCGTATTTCTTAAATTGGTATCTGAAATGGAAGGGGTTTTCGTTGAAATCGTAAGTATGGATTCTTTAACCTGGGTTCAGTCTCGACGACGTATGAACGTATTTTTAACGGTATTTTTTAGTAAGGTACGGTAATTTAACTTCTGTTGTCTGTTTTATTGTTTTTTTTGTGTTTACGTTTAGGGCAAAATTAATTCTTTTTACAAAGAAAAAAACTCGTACTTAACATATTATATCAATCCTTAAATCTTAAAAAAGTAGAATGTCCAACAATTCCCATAGTGGAAATGTCCATAATAAATTGCATAACGTTTGTATAGACTGTCACAAGCAATGTATATTTTTATTCGGCAAAAAACAAAAATTAAAAGAATGCTGACAATATCTTTAGGTCGGGGAGTATATAAACAAATTTGTAAGCGTAAATCGATAAATAAATGTTCCTAGTACAATCTGAGGCGAGTATTCTAAAACAAAGACACTACAGAACACTAAAGTATGACTCTATGGTAGGTAGCTACACTAGCGAACTCCATACAACAACAACGTGAAGTGTTGTGGAGCGAAGATCCTGCGTGTCCTGCGCTATCCTGCCTCACACGTGGTCCGTGGACCTGCCGCCAGACAGCAGCTCCTTCGCGCGGCGCGGGCTTTAGGTGGGTGAGATTAATCAATACGAGATGCCGATTGAATGTTAAACTGGACTTGACCCGGCTTTTGGTTGTTTTCGCCGCATCAGTAGATGTACCCGCGATGTGTCCGTGTATATAGTCGCGAGCAGTAGTGTTCCTCGTAGCCTCCAAGAGTGGCTTATTTTGACTCTAGAGACCGCCTCATCAAGGTCTCTGTGGTGTCCAGCGTGCGAGACATCGAGTCCGTCGTCTGGCGACGCAAGCACGTAGTGATGAGCGAGCAAGATGTGGACGACGTCGCTTTCCTGACAGGTGCAAACCAGCAAACCTACACTTCAATACCATATAGGTCCCCGGCGTGTGCTTTACCAATAGCCACAGGTCTAGCTTGTTATCTTGGGTGATTTAAAATAGGCCATTGACCTTGGCTGTCACCTTCACATGATCGAGGATTGGCCAATTTATATTGTTGCTGAGGGCTTTATAGTCTGTCTTGTTTCATTTCTTGCCTTGTGTCTTTGGTCATTGACCTTGATAGCCTCCCTCGTGGTTAGAAATAGACATTATATTATGACTACAGATTTTGAGCTGTAAGCTATTGGCTTTCTAATTCTATTTTAGAGAAGAGTATGTACAATAGTTACTAATTCCTTAACCTTTACCATGTTCTTACCTACTGGTGTGCTTAGTGTTAAGTTACTAAACCCGAGAAAGTTTATTTAGGTTCTTCCTACATATACAAATATTTAGAGTTATTACAAATTATTATGGCGGAAAGGTTGATGGAAATGAAGATAGGAATAGTGCATTCATCACTTAATGTGTTCAACCATAGTAAAACATTCTTGTATAACTTAATTAACTCATTAACTGTACATAAAATTAATTCCTGTGTATTCTAGCATCCTGATACTAAGTGTGTGTAACAGTGTATCAATTTATGTTAAAATACATGACTTTTGCTGCAAGAAACCAACTAATAAATTTGTTTCATGATGGTGAAGATACGTTTTGGCCAGTTCCTGTATTCTGTGGTGAGTGGAAGAGCAATTTTCAGTTGAACATCTTGAGTGTGTACTGTGTAGTATTGTACAAACAGTTGTGAACAGTGAATGACAAGTTTGGTGATGTAGAACTCTAGCAGTGCTCACTATTGGTAGATTAGAACAAGTGTACATAAGTAGTGGAAGGTGATATCCCAGACATACCCAGACTAGAGATTTTTATTCACTCCTTGCATGTAGATTAAAAACGGTTAAAAAAACATATAAGAATATTTTCTCATGAGTAGATCAAATTTCGACCCCACTTTGGTTGTTACATGTATAGAACCATAACTAGGTTTTATTATTTATTAAAAAGTTACTATACATTGTCTGTTATGTAGTGTTGAAGTTAATAGTATAGGATGATAGCACCACATTTTTGGTAAAATTTCAATTTATTGTTTGAAATATTGTATTTTTATATTGACTAATATGTTTTTGTTGTATTAACATTAGAAAAAATCTAGTCCTATATTTTTATGCTTGATATTTTTTCTTTCTCTTTATAAGTTACCTATACAGTACTGGGATTAAACTCAGGATTTCATTCTACCTCAAATGTGGCAAGGAAGTTCAAACAAGTGATATGCATAGCTATTAACCAGCATACGCTTTGATTAACCTGTACCACGACTAACATACTCAGTGAAAGTGTACACATTTGGTGTAAAATATCTACCTTTATTATATCCAACAAGAGAAGTAGGATTACTTTACACATATATTTCAAGTATTTATCTTCATTTTGCATCCAAAAGGTAGTCATAGGATAAAAAGTTAAATTAGGACTTTCCTACTGGATATGATTTTTTGGTAATATACAAAGCCAGGATCATTTATTGTGGTTATCCTCAAAAATTCCAGGTTCTTCCAGTAAAAAAACTGTATAATGTTGGATTTGGTAAGGTTAAATATATAACAAATGCATATTTTTATGTAAATGTCTACTCTATTAAAATAGGAATATGATTAGTACTTGGACCATCCATCCATAGGGAGTTCCTGCTTGAAGCAATTAACTTACACAAAAAGTAACACTCAACATTTTTACTTCTCAGTCATGTCTCTGAAGGATTGGTCAGATTGAATACAACAATACTCATGGACAAATTGTGGTCAAGTTAAATTTTTGTAGGAAACAAAAGCAAGAGGATGGTATTATACTGTCGGATACCAATAGGTTGACTTGGTTGTAAGATGTGAATATGGCAAAAAGTAACAGGGAGGAAGTGAAGCAAGAGATCGGCCAATCCATTCCAGCATTTATCATACATAAACTCAGATCACATTTAAAAGGTGTTATTATGACAAAAACCAATTAATTGGCATGTCATGTATACTTTTTAACATTGATCTGGCAGAGGTTATTATATTGCTGAGGTTATTACATATGAAGAGCTTCAATGATCAAATCCACTGGTGGAATGAAATAGAAGAGGAAGAAAAAAATTATTGCTAATTTTCTGAAGAAAATAGCATGCATTTGTGTGTAATTCCATTGACCATCATGAAGAATTTCCCGAAGTTAAAGAACTATGGACTGCAATGTGTTTGGTAGCTATAGTATGTGTTGTAATGTTTTCATGTAAGACAACAATTTTCTTTATGCAGCCTATAATGTTGTTGTTAGGATGTATCATATCACCTGACAATATTAACTCATTGTTTGCCATACCATTAGGTTTTTTGTAAAAGTTCTTTGTTGTTGATTGTAAGGGAGTATGTTTTATCTATGTTGTAAGTCACTCCATTGTTTTATGTCGATCTTGTTCTTTCTAGTGGGGCCTTGATCTTACTATCTATGACAGAGTTTATTGTTATTCTAAGGTGTTTTGTGGGAAATGTACAGTATTATTTTATGTAAATAATTGCATCTAATTTAATCGTAAGAATATTACAAATAGGAAATAAGACAATAAAGTCTACATATCTTACTAACTTATAAATATCTTACAAACTGATACTGTACTAAACATTTAAAAATACAAAAGGTAAAATATAAAAAGGTTAGAAAAGATAAAAAGGTTTATTGTTATGGATGAATGAGAGACTATTGCAAACACTATTTGCTTCTCTTTCCTCTTTAAAAATTAAATAGATTCAGTTCAAATGAATACTTAAGAATTTTGCAGGTTCTCCAATTAGATAGAGCAAAACAGAATTTTTAGTTACAATAGATTTGCATTGAAGCTTGGGAAACTGGAAACTGATATCTCTCATAACAACACAAGTCAGTCTTAACTGTCATGCTGGTCATTCCATCCATGTATGGGTCATTCACTAAATAATTCAATAGCATAGAGACAAAATCTTTTAAATCAGCATATGTTTTCAACCCTGTGCTAAATGCAATATCTTGAGTAGGTAATGTATTTAGATCTGAACTCTTCTGCATGTCTTTATATTTTAAACTTACAATGTATTTTTTATTGTCAAACATATATTTTACCACTATAGTAATACGTTTGGGAAAATAATAACTTAACTCTTACATGTTATGATAACTATTTTTATTTTTAACTGTCACAATATTCATAGAATTTATTTTAAATAAAAAAAAACTCCTTATAAGGTCATTTGTTGTCTCTGTGAACATTTTATGTAATTGTGATTCAAAACATTACAGACACGAATAAAACATAGTACAGGTCTAACTATTGTTTTAAATTTAAGTTTAAAAATATATAATTTTTCTAAAAGTATTTGCTGTATACCAATTTGTCAAAGCATTTTTCAAGCTATTGAATGGAACAAATGGCACTGCATTATTTTCCACAAACATTATGGGCACATATAAAACATGGTGCAGGAGTAACTTCATCTAGAGTCTCAAATTTAATTTAAAAAATATAGCACTGTTTGTAAAAGTATTTGCTGTGCTTACCAATTGGTCAAAACAATATTAAAGCTCTTGAACGTAAATAATGGCACTGCAGTATTTTCCATAAAATGCTGTTATAAAGTATTACAAATACTTGACTAACGTAAATAGTGTCATAAATAACTCCACTCTATGAAAAGAATTAAAGAAGCTTCATATTTTTATTTGGAGTTTTTTCTATCATTACTATAAATGCCTTATAAAGTACATAATATTTGAAAAGTGATACATTTTGCTTATAGTAAAAGGAATAAAATAATAATTACATCCCTTTGATGTAATTAAAGTTTAGTTTTTCTTTGAATCATACTCTACTATAACATGTATGTTATTTATGGTTTACAGGTGACAGCCAGACGGGTATACACAAACGCAGTGTGTACGAACACAACGGTGTGGCAGTATGTTCCCAGAAGAGAGCGCTCTGTATCGCCACGGTGATCATGGCTATCCTCTTCACCGTCTCCCTCATCATCGCCTACGCAGGGCCTCAAGCAGGTAACACTTAAACTTATTTACTACCATTATTTTTTTAAATATCAACATTAATTATAGCTCGGCCGCTTAGAAAACGACCTGCGCGCTAATGCTAAACCAATGCTGGAGGAGGTCGTTTTCTAAGCGGCCGAACTATAGTATATTACCTTACTAGTCCTGAAAATAGGTGTTTAAAGTACGAGTGTGATCGTTCCATGTATTTGCTAATGTAAAATGTATTTGTATATTAAATTATTATTATTATTAAATTAAATTATTATTTGTATATATTGTCTAAATATATGTAATGTGTAATGTATTTGATTTATTCAAGTCCTTTAGTTGGTGGTAATATATAAAGATTTGAATGGATTTAGTAGTATGGCTTAAACTATCGTACGTCACTCGTCCAAAATGTGTTTACCGGACTCGTATGGTAATCCCGTACCCCACTCATCCGGTAAACACTTATTTTCAGGACTAGTAAAGCTGGGTTTTCCTAGGCGCGGAAGCGGAGAGCGGAGAGAGGAACGCAGAGAGCGGAAAAGAGATTAACATGGTGTTCCGCTCTGCTTCTAGGAAAACAGTAACATTAAATTACCTAAGACAAGTGGAGTCCGCTCTCCGCGTTCCTCTCTCCGCTCTCCACTTCCGCGCATAGGAAAACCCGGCTTATAACGTAATATAGTATTTCTTAAAAGGTACATGATGATAACAATATGCTTTTGAGATACAAAACTTATGAAGCTAACTGCAATAAAGTTGGGGGATTTTTACCTCGTTTTAGAAATAAATACTGTCGTTATCCTTTGCAACTATGAACACAATAGCAAAATAAACAATCTTACCCACAGTTTGGGGAATATCATTATGAAACTTAAATGTGCCATATTAAATAATGGTTTGTTTGTAGTTAACTAATTAATGTATTTCAAGCGATAATTTAACCTTCCTAAGTATATCACTTTATGATTACTCCCTCCTCCTTGCTTTTTTCTCAGTAAACATATGTAGTAAATAAACGTGAGTGTAGCAGACAAATTATTTGTATAAAAAGGTTTTGTTTATTTATATCATTAAGATAAATGTAAACTTAAAATTATTAGATTCATTTAGCCTAATTTGCCGAAATTTATTTTATTTACAAATCAAAAATGAGATAATAGTATTTTCCAAATTTATATGAGATTCATTACAAAAGGTTTTTCATATTTATCAAAATCTTTGTTTACCGTATTAGTTTTTGTAAATACAATAGTAAATTTAGATAGTGTAAGAAGTTGAGTGATGCAATTTACATTCTTTTTCAATGACTTCTCCAAAAAAATTCTTCATTGGAGAAATTTTTTTGTTTTTGTGGTAATTTTGTTGATACTTACAGGTAATAAAACTCATCACCTATTTTAAATAAAATTAAATGCGTAAGAAATTAGTTTGTAAATTTTTCCATTTTAATTTTAGATAAATGTTAGTATTTAAGGTTATATGTACATTTAACAGTGTTTGTTTTGGAAGGCATGCATCGATGCATCCCCTAATTTTTGTTAATAATGCTTTTAACTCCTATTGAACAGCTTAACCTAAATTTAGAAAGAAAATAATTTGAAAAATAAAAGCCCCTACTATAATAGGTACCACATTTAACAACCAGAGACAATGTGATGTACAGATTTATATAAACTAATTCCTTGTTGAGGAAGCGAATGCTGTCTATTTTTTAGTACGTCTATTTTTACATAAGCCAGTAATCTATTTACGTTCATCTTATTATTTTAACATGTTTTCATTGCTCGTTGTGTTGAGCCTGTAATGATTTTATATTATCTTATTATTTGTATTATAAAACATTCTTGGGTTAAATAACACTATACAACCTTGTAGGTAATTATATTTTTGTAAATTAGCTACCTGCGTCTTTTATGCAAAAAATATTATGAAATTGATATTGATAGACAAAATTTTGTACTTATATGTTTTAAAACTGAAACACACTTTGTATCTTAAAAGAAGTATGATTGTCAAAATATGTTTAAACCTTCTCTGAATCTACTGAATAGGATTATGGCTAAATGCATTGTGATGTTACAGAATGCCCCTGTGCGGGGGAGATGCCTCCCTCCCTTGATGGGGAAGATGAGGAAGGGGTGAGGAACGTCATCCCCATAGCAACCAATGGGGAGATCTTCCCCTGGAACAACCATAGGCTTCCTACGTTTGTCAAGCCTACTAGATACCACATAAACATCCATCCTAACCTGACCACCATGGATGTTAAAGGTGAGGGACTCAAGTGAATGGGAGATTAAATACAATAAAACAAATTCTGTTGAACAGATCTGAATTATAAACATTCAATACGGTATCTATACTATTGTCAACATTTAAAAATATTGATTGTGAAGTTAATGTTTGACAAATACCATAGTTAAGACAAACATTAATTAAGTAAAAAAAATAAGTGCTCTTCTTTATATATCCTAGCATGACATTGTTCTAACATTGTGGTAATATCTGACATTATTCCATACATCAGGAACAATAGGTCAAACTTAAAAGTTTCAAAAATATTTTTGAATAAAATAACCCACTTTCTGTATAAGTTACCCTAAATTAAGTAATTGTTTTATACTTGTTCGCCCTGCAACATTTAATAATTCAATAGCACTCTCAGATAAGTAATCATTATGTTTCTAGAATAACTGAAATACGAACAGAAGAACTAAAAGAATAAAAAACAAAAAACACTAAGATGAATTTGCTAACACTAACTTTTTTTACAAACTCAATGAGGAAATAATCAATCAAATGTGTGAATTAGTCTATCATTATCCTTTGGGCTCTCATCAATAACTGTGGATACGGTATTCAACTGATCAGCAATCATGTATTGCAATTATGAAAGTGAATATTGTCGCTAAAGAGTGTAGAGTACTGGTTTTTACATGAGAGAAGTCTTCCTTTACAATGGCATCCATAGTTTGTGAAAACATCTAACAACAACAACAACAACAACAACACTGGTCACTTCACTCCTGCAAATACTTTATGTACAGTCAAAGCTGTATCTTAAAAGATCATTTTTACAAACTGATTGAAAGCTTATCCCAGACAATCTTTATGTAAATACCCCCGCCGCAGCAAACCTACAGACTAAGCGAATTTCCATTTGCCTAAATTGATTTTACTGTAAATTAAATCTATTTAAATTTAAATTTAAGTAACATGGAACAAGCCTGGGGAAACTGCATTAAAGAGCCCTTGATAGCATAAGGCAGTCATCTAAACGAACCTGCGCTAAAAGCTGATTTAGCTTGTAGAGTTGTATGGGAGACTCAGATGAAGGCATTGTTTGATGTTCGTGTCGTTTACACTGATGATCCATCTTATGGTGTTGTCATTCGAATTTTTACATAGGTACAGTCCTTTCAGCTAATACACTACCTCATCTATTTATACCTATGCTATTTCAGGCCAAGTGACAATTGATTTCAACGTAGACAAGGATACCTACTTCATTGTTCTGAACTCAAAGAATCTCACTATAACTGATAAGGTTAGTAGATACGGCAACTTTAAAGTGTAGTATGAACAAAATTACTTAAAATTAATTAATTCTTACCCGTTATTAGTGTAAGATTTTGGATCGCCCATCGTCAAAGACTCTTTCTGGGATTAGGAAAACAAAAGCTCGCACAGTCAGGGTGAAATTGTAAAAATATTCCGAGGTAACAGCGAAATCGTGAATAGGCTATCTTTTACAGTCACAGTGAAATCATGAACATCTTCTGCCGTTGCAGAGACTTACAGGCTCCCATGTTTGAGGACAAACTAAAAACATTAGCAGCGAGTGCAATGATGAAATATTACAGAAATTCGCTGATTCCGAATTCCCACTAATCCGAATAAAATTCGGTCGCAGTTACATCGGAATAGTGGGACTCTACTGTATGTACTAAACAGTATACAGTGGATTTCCTCTCATTCGGATACATAGGACAAGATCCTCGTCTAAACTTTAAAAAATCATACAAAATCAAACAAAATAAGAATGGATACGTTTCAAAACCACACAACAAAAATTGTTAAACTTAAGTCATTACTTTGTTTATATCAAATAATTATTTATCAAACTGAAAACAATTTTATGTGGTGGATTTCTATAAATAAAAATACCTATTTACAGGAGTTGCAACACTAAATTAAAAAATATGAGAAAATTTGAAATATTTTTCTTAAATTAGCTTTAAACAAAAATAACATTATTAACTGTCAATTATTTTCCAACTAGATGGTGACAACAGATCGTAAGACACACAGGCTACAAGTTGCTAGGTTTCTTGAATACTCAACTGGGCAGCAGTTGTATTTGGAGTTGAAGGAGAAGTTCAGAAAGAGAGTGAATTACACCCTGATCATGAGATACGCTACCAGACTCAGTAGAGAACTCGAGGGCTTCTATCTCAGCAGCTACACTAACAAGGATGGGGAGCGCAGGTCAGCTATCAAAAACACTTATCTAATAAGCTATAATTACAGGGATACTTTAAAAGTCTGTGCTCAAACAATGTGCATGAAGTTGAATGATTAATTAGGTATAGACTAGTAAAATATTGTCCAGCTAAACTTTAAATCACATTAACATGAACTTTGTTTTGGAATTAGCAATGAATAATAGCTAAAAATACCTGCCGGACATCACAATTAACTGGAATGTAACAACATTTAAGGAAAAATATCTGATAAAAGGTAGTTCTCCTCTTTATCCATTTTGTATAACGTTTTCATCCTATAAACAATGTATCTTATGGTGATGTAGATATTAATTTCATGTTTAACATAGAATCTTAATATTTTACAAGATGTTTATAAAACAAACAACTTGTAGAAATATTTAGGCTGAAGCATTTATCAACATATATCTTACATCTCATAATACGATAAATTGCAGGTTTTAAATATCTGAAACTGACCAAAACTACCCTGTTAAATGTTTTAAAATGATCTTCACCAATATGATTTTCTTTCAGGTACTTGGCAACAACTCACTTTGAACCAACTTATGCCAGAGCCGCTTTCCCATGTTTTGACGAACCCCAGTTCAAAGCTCGTTTCAAAATGTCAATCTTCAGAGATCGCTTTCACATATCTCTATTCAATATGCCAATCATCAACACTGAAGATGCTGGATTTTACATGGGAACAGGGCTGGTAAGTGAACAAGTATTTGATAACTTTTTTATTAAGTTTCTATATTGATTTTAATTTATACTGTCTATTATACCATCAACTACCATAACTATGAACTATTTTTCTGGTTACACATGTTTTTCCATTTTCAACATCTTATTTTTACACGTTTAAATAATATTTTGACACTATTGACCAAGAATTAATAATTACTGTGTCTTTATGAAAATTATTAGCACGTTACTTAAACATATAAATCGTACGTGTGTGGCAGAAGATTTTCTTCCCTCAATATTTAATAGAGAAAAAGTAATCGCACTGATCAACTTTGACTTTTTTATGATATCTAAAATAAATACCTAAATAAATGTTGCCTTTAAAGAACTGTTCATTGTAATTTGTAAGATATGATGCCTAGCTTCATACAACATCAAGTAACTTCCAGTTTCCTTCACCTTTCAAAGCCTTCAGTAAGAGGTTAATGTTCTTATGAGAAAATTAAATAGCCTTTTTCATTGGAATTATTACAGAGAATTTTAAATTGGACTGATTTAAAAACATTCAAGGTCCAACTCCAATACTGACGTTTGACATATATTTGCCGTTGCAGTTGAGGGATGACTTCCAAGAGTCGGTGGAGATGAGTACATACCTTGTGGCCTTCGTAGTGTGTGACTACAAGTACATCAACGGTCACACGGCCCGGGGTGTCTCTGTATCTGTGTATGCTCCTCCAGACCTCATACCACAGGCCAAGTTTGCCCTCAACACCGCCATCAGCATGATGGACCACTACGAGGAGTTCTTCGGTGTCGACTACCCACTACCAAAACAAGGTTGGTTGGATGAATGAAAGTGTATAGATTTATAAGACTTTATTTATAAACTGATAGGGTAAAACCCTTATTTTACCATTGGGTTAAACTATAATTTTAAATACTGTGTGAAACACAATTGTGTTTATATATGAGGTACTTTCGGAAAGTAAGTTCTGTTTCCCCTACTCTCCACAGTAGCACTGTGTTCGCAGTTTAACGCATGTGCATTAGTTACTCTGGCTCAACCAAAAGGAAAGAGTTGTACTTCGTAGCTCTTGTTCATAATGGCTGCGTTAATTGAGAATCTACTTGATTGTGAAGTTCTTAATTCACATCATTTCCCGCCAATTGCCAATCACCAACAGCCTGTACAAAAACTTATGCTTGGGTAAACCTAAAAGCTTGTAAAATATTTGATCAAAAGTTTGATATATTTACATTTAATTTCAGATTTGATAGCAATACCAGATTTTGGAGTGGGAGCCATGGAGAACTGGGGGTTGATCACTTATAGAGAGACTTCCATCCTGTACGATCCCAACGAGACGTCAGCCGCGGCTCACCAGTGGGTGGCTGTAGTGGTGGCTCATGAGCTGTCACACCAGGTTAGGATTGTGTGATACCAGTGACTTTTTTATACAATACCAATAAAACGTCGGCCGCAGCTCACCAATGGGTGGCTGTAGTGTCACACCAGGTCAAGATTGTGTGATATCAAGACATCCCATCTATACGGATCCGCTGTAGCCTATTTTCTATTCGAAAAGATTCGTTGAATGAGCTACTCACAGAGTGAACTATAGTCTTAAATTTTTTTCTCTCCGTTTTTTTTTTTTTTTTGTTACTGCCATTTGAAAGATGTTATAGATTACATTAAGCTGTTCTATCAGTTTGACGTTTAACTTGGTAAAAAATTTGGCATATTATAGAAATCAGTAATTTACATCAAAACACATTATTGTTTGTCCATTTTGGTTCTTAAACTGGGGACAGCTTTAACTTGGTGATGAAATGTCTAATTCTATTAATAATCATATGTGATAACAGCATGAGTGTGAGTAGTAGGGCTAGGGAACCTTATGTTCACAGCTCACTAGTGGGTGCTGTAGTGGTGGTACCTACATGATACACAACACCCAGCTAAAACAGCTAAAAATAAGCTGTAAAAGGATCGAGCCTTCATCTCCACTTCGGCTTCCATTAACATTATTTCCAAGAATACGGTTATTTTAAAGTAAGTGCTTTTAAAGAGTAAATCAGTACTTTTTCTTCAAAATATTTATGAATCTTTGAAAACCGACAAGATACTGGTACAGTTATTTTTATATACAAACATTAACACAACTCAAAAATCAAATCTGGAAAGCAACTGAACCCTTTTTTAAGAAATCAAGCACGTTTTCATAATTCCCTCGCAGTTGTTATAGTAAACTTGAAATAGCGTTGAATGTATGAGAAACAAATGTATACAATACTGAGACCAACAATAGCCTACGAGACTGAAGCACAGAGGATGATTGTTCCTAAATTTTAATGAGATGAACTATAATTGGTTTTGTTAAACGTTAATTTTCCTGTTTGTGTTTAAAAGATCAACCTTTTCACTAACACAGAAAGCAACCAGCGAGAATGAGATGAATAGATGTCTACCCGTGGTGTGCTTGTTTCAGTGGTTCGGGAACCTAGTGACAATGCGTTGGTGGAACGACCTGTGGTTGAACGAAGGGTTTGCCAGCTTCCTTGAGTACCTCGGGGTGGACCATGTAATGCCGGGGTGGAGCATGATGGACCAGTTTGTACTGGAGAAGACTCAACCTGGCCTTAACTTGGACGCCTTAGCATCAAGCCATCCGATATCTGTGTCAGTTCATGATCCGACAGAGATTGAGGCCATATTTGACACAATATCTTACAGCAAGGTAAGTAAAAGGTCTCCACTATTAATTGAAAATACATTTATTTCAATCTAAATTGACTAAGAACTAATCAATCCTTATCAATGGCTCACTACTACTATCAATGGCTCATCACTGGTGTCCAGAAAGTATTAGATGTTTTGCATCGGCACCGCTTGGGCTGGACTGTTGCCTATGCACTCTGCATCAGAGCATTTTCCATCTAGCTATGGTAGAATTCGGATCTTTTGTACTTTGTCTTCAGTTGAGTTTTAAAATGAGCGCTGCCTTTCCAATCCTATACAACAACTGTGAGGTTCGCTCTGTGATGAGTTTTCGGTTGGAAATCAATCCAAGCCAATTAGGTGTATTGACTTTAGAAATGGTTTAATCTTGGTTTAAAATTGTTTCATAGTCTTCCAGAAATGTTTATGCTGCAACAAGTCTCTGTTTTCTTTTTATAATCCGTTATGACTTTGGAATCCAGTAGGCACAAAGTTTGTCAAGTTTAGGCAATTTCATCAACCAAACTCTTTTATGTTTGACGAAACTGTTTTGTAATTGTGAACGGTGGTTTTCATTGACTGTGTCCTTGACTTTACCAACCGGTTTGTCTGTCACTACACTAGGTATCTGCAATCCTCATCCTGAACATTATTTCGGCCATGTTGTACCAATTGCACATTGAGAATTAATCTCTATATTATGGTAGTCTTACAGTGAAAAATCTTAACTATGTATTTAAATCAACTCATAATATACAGTTTTAAAATATTACCAGCAGTTACTGTGTGCTTTTACCGTATTTTAATAATTTCATTTCTTTCTGTTAACTTATTATGCTCCCTATAAGAATTTACAGAATTGACTTACCTTGGCTATAAAGTAAGGTAATTTGGAATTATAATACTGAATGCTTATGTTACAAAGTGTCAAACGACTTTCCAGGGAGCAGCTTTGCTTTACATGCTGGAAAAGTTTCTGGGCCAAGACACTTTCCGCAGTGGCTTGAATGACTACTTGAACACCCATAAGTATTCAAATGCTGACACCAAAGATCTGTGGACAGTCCTCAGTAAACATGCCAATAACACTATTCAAGTGAAGGTAAGTTTAAAATGTTTGTTCTTATTATATTCTTATTTTGTAAACTTTGAGATCTGAAAAATACATGGGTAGTGTATGGTTTGTTTTAACAATAATGATGATACTGTACAATAACTATTTATCTTTGTTTCCATACAATTACTAGTAAATCGTTCGATCACTATGCAAAATGTTTCATGTCCAGAGAAATATTGTCTATAAGAATGCTATGGATGACTGCAGTGCAGGCCGCAGGGATAGGGGACCATGGCCAGCTCTGAGAAGGTTTTTAGGTCTTCTGATAGCTTTGTAGGTTTTTATAAAGCTTGATGCATCTAAAATAAATCTGTGTAATTTATGAATACCTTTGTAAAAGCATGGGAATACATAAACAAATGACAATGAGATAAATAATGCTAAAAAAAGGTCTGTTAGAAAGCTGGTGTTGAGCAGTCCCCTGAGTGGGCTGTGCTTATTGTCAGTACATAGGAAATACATTCAAGAAAATAACTAAAAATCACAATCATGTTTTGCTATGATTTTGTTCGTTATTCTTATTAGTTCAAAATCTAAAGCCCCCCATACCCGGGCAAACATGTTCGTGAGCATGTTTGTGACGGTGTTGGCGGCGAACATGCTTGTCCATGTGTGGAGTCTGCGAGCCTTCGTACCGGTGAGCATGTTGGGCTCGGCGCTGGGCTCGTCATTATTCTTTGAGTAGAGGATAGCTTTATTTAAGATCGATTTTGAATTAAGGTAAAGGCTTTGTCAGACTGTCACAGCACGAGAGAAGTAATAGTAAAGTGCGGTGGCGGGAAGCAAGTTCGCGAGCATGCTCAACCATCTGTTAGAAACGCCGAGCATGCTCGCCCGTGTATGCAATAAAGTTGATAGTATTGATTCTGCCACACAGCTGATTGCAAATACATAAACCAAAGGGATCATAATTAAAATAAACTATAAGTATGACTGACTTTTACCTTTATTAAAAAATGTATAAAGTATACTAAAATGTTTAACAGTAGATTTAAAGAACACCACACCATTTTGTTCTGTAGTCTCGTCCCATTGTGAAGCATGGGCAGAGCAACTAGTTTTCATAAAGATAGCAGAGAAAATAAGTAAATTGTTATCAAGACGTTTTAAAGATAATCCCGGCTTGACAGCCTAAAAACATGCTTGAAAATTTTTTGCATCACAGCTGTGTGCAGGGAATATTTCCTGACCCTGGAACTAGATACCAGTTTTCCCAACTGTAATAATTGGAGTGTTCCTCTTGTTTCATTCCTCAAAATAACGAAACAAAACACAAGTTCCAGTGCGAGTATGTTTCAGACAATAATGGACACATGGACGAGACAGATGGGGTTCCCTCTCATCTCCATCAGCAGAGAGGGCAGCACTGTGTACGCCAATCAGACGAGGTTCCTGCTGACTCCCGACCCGACCAATGAAAGCATCCCGCTGGACCAGCCCAAGTCTCAGTTCGGCTACAAGTGGTACGTCCCTCTGAGCTACTACACCGACACCAGCGATGAAGAGGAAACTGTGTGGATGAATATGACTGACAGTGAGTAGGCTATGAAATAAAACTGTAATTTTAAACTGTTTTTTGTTTGGGTACATGCTAAAAGTGTTTATGCATTGTTGACAACTTTCAAAATGGGTTGGAATGGTTAATAGAAGATAAATCATGTAAATAATCAGTCGGTTTGTCATTCCTACCTGCTGAGGTTGTTTACAAGTTTCTACTAGGCTATAGTCAGTATTTATAAGTAATCCTTTCTATACTGTTTATTTCCATTGATACCACCTTGATCTTGTTATTTATTAATCCAAGGAAATTTTTATATAAAAAATTTGCAGTCAATTTATTGCTTTTTCTTATCTTATAATATACCCTCACTATGAAAGAGTTTTTACTATTTATCACCTCTAAACCTAGGGAAAAACAAACATAAACCTCTAGTACCACACGGGCCCTCTCATTGGTAAAGACAAGCAAAGATTTTTTTTTGTAACAGAAGAATTAGGCATCATAAATGTAGGCTAGTATTTCTGTTGGTAAAGTGTTAAATTTCACCTTTTAGATCTTCCTTGGTTTTTTAACCAATAATTAAATTACTGAACTAGTTTTACTGAAGTGGATCTTTAAAAAAAGAAATTTAAAATAGTTATCCTTCCTATGGTTGCTGCTTTACTTTCTATACCTATACCCTACTTATTGTCTTTTTTTGTTTATTTGATCTTTTACATTTTTCAGTCAAGTTTGAGGTTGATCCGAACATTGAGTGGCTGAAGGCCAATGTGAATCAGTCCGGCTTCTACAGAGTCACTTACGACGAGGAGATGTGGAATGATCTGATACAAGCGCTGAAACTGAACCACACAGCCTTCAGTCCAGCTGACAGAGCAAGTCTCATTGATGATGCCTTCACACTCTGCAGGTATTGTAAAATAAAACTGCACAAACTATTACATCCAATACTAGTCAAATTTTTATCTATTATTATTTTATTTCACACAATAGATTATAATAAATTGTTAGATTGATTGTTTTATAAAGATTGTCTATAAATCAAGGTCTCTAATGTGCTTCCGTGGGAAGTAACCAAGTTAAAATCTTTCACTACCACTGTGTTCTAGAGTGCTCACAGATTGCTGTTTATCTCTTATATACCGTAGTTGATGGCTACTATGAACGACCTAGAGATGGGAACTAGCAAGACAAGAATAGTATAGTCCTGTAGCCCTGGGAAGTAAAAAATGCAGAACAAGTGTTAGATTTAACTAATATCGAGGGGGGAAATATTCACTAGTTTAAACTAAAATCTATGTGAGTAAAAGAACAAAATTGTAAAATGTTGTAGCCCAATAAAAATAAAAATCCAAATGAAAATACATTTCTTCTACTTTCTTATGTGGTCATCCTACTCGCAAGTTATTTGTACCAAGTGTTATGAGGGTGTTTTATACTCTCCAAAACCTCCAGGTAGGATGGGGTCCTGGCTGTGCCCCCCCCAAATTTATGGGTCACATGACTCTTCCAGTGGCGTAAATAACACTCCTGCAATCCCCCAGTGGGGGGGAAGCCGAGGTCAAGGGGGCGCCGAGGTCTGACCGTCAAAGCTCAACACAATCAGGGAAAAAGGTGACGTTGTTTCCTTGAACGCGAAGACGGTGATAAAGTCTTACAGACCGAAGAAGGTATTCATAAAATTGCTGCAATCGCGGAAAAAGATAACGCAGTTTCTGTGACCGCAGGAGATGAGGATGATGTCTAAAAGACGGAAGAAAATGTTATGATGTTGTCACAATCACGTAACAAAGATTAAGTTGTTTCCGTAACGGCATGAGACGAAGATTATGTCTCCATGATTAAAGAATTTTGTTCATGATTTTGCGGCAGTTGGGTAAAAAAAAGATTAGGTTGTTTCCGTGACCGCGGGAGACGGTGATAAAGTCTTACAGACCGAAGAAGGTATTCATAAAATTGCTGCAATCGCGGAAAAAGATAACGCAGTTTCCGTGACCGTAGGAGATGAGGATGATGTCTAAAAGACGGAAGAAAATGTTATGATGTTGTCACAATCACGTAACAAAGATTAAGTTGTTTCTGTAACGGCATGAGACGGAGATTATGTCTCCATGATTAAAGAATTTTGTTCATGATTTTGCGGCAGTTGGGTAAAAAAAAGATTAGGTTGTTTCCGTGACCGCGGGAGACAAACATTATGTCTACAAGACAAGAAAAGATATCAAAGATTTTTGAACTATTGTGGAAAAAGATGACGTTTTTTTTTCGTGACCGCGGGAGACGATGTCTACAAGACCCAGAGAAGATATCAAAGATTTTGGCACTATTGTGGAAAAGGTGACGTATATTTCTGTGACCGCTGGAGACGATGATGATGTCTACAAGACCAGAGAAGATATCAAAGATTTTTGCACTATTGTAGAAAAAGATGATGTTGTTTCTTTGACCGCGGGAGAATAATAATAATATAAGTTGTGTATTGTACAACAAGAACAAGTCTGTACGGAAGAACAAGTCGCGCGCAGCGCTCAATTACGGGCACAACTAAAATAAAAATAAAACTTCTTAGCAATTAAGATGGAGATGAAAAACGTCTGCGAGAGTTTTTGGATTTTTCTGCAATTACGGCTTTTACTGAGAAGAACGAATAAAACATAAATGGTGATATTTTGATGGGGGGTCGGGCGCCATCTACATGTACTGTGGTGGGGGGACACTGCACGATGTACTTACGCCACTGAATGCCTCTGAATAAAAGTAATGGGTTTTAGAATTGAAGTTGAAATGTTAACTAAAGAAACCACCTAACCAATTATTGTTTTGGGAATTGATATGGCTTACTCAAAAGTTTATTGTTAACATCATATAATTTCAAAATGTTATTTGCAACTGTTTCAATGATGCTGTTATTTTTATAATGTAACTTAAGCTAAAATCACTATCAAGACACTACAAAATCAGTTCAAAATATCAATGTGATTGTAAAAGTGATTTGGAAAACAGAAAAATATTTTTGGTTCAAAGCAATCTATCATTTGAGGATAAGCCTACATTTACATTTAGTACAGCGACAAACTATTGTATGTTACTATTACCACTCTGTTACCCTCAGGGCTGGTCTACTGAATGTCACTGTACCCATGGAGCTGTCCCTGTACCTACTCAAGGAGAGAGAGTACGTGCCGTGGGCAACAGCGTTGGAACACTTCCAGGCCTGGAGTCGCTACTTGTCTGAAGCAGCTCCGTACAGACTGTTCCTGCGATATATGAAACATCTGCTGGGACCCGTGGCTCACTCACTGGGCTGGGAAGACACTGGCACGCACATGAACAAGTGAGTTACATTAACACTTGGAGTAATTCACTGAAGTGGTAATTTGGTCTAATATGTACTGTAGCTCATGTTATGCTAACGTACTAGAGGAAAAATAACCTACATGGCAGCATTCCAATAACACCATATGCAATGATTAATAAAAAAAAACCATTGTTGAAAATTTAAAACAGTGAGTAAAAGAAATTTGATGACCTCAAACAGAATGGATGGAAACAGATGCATCATTCACCATAGCTCGAGCTTGGTACTTAGCGATTTTAATGTTTTAAACGAAAGAAGTATCTTGGTGGAGTACTTTGCAACAGCAATGAAGTGGAAACACTATTTAAGACTGATCATCCCTACAAGCAGCCATCCAGCTTCTAACATTGATAGAATTAGTTTATTGTTAATAAACTGTAGAGAATAACTTATGAATCAAAATACTCTATTGCATTTTCTCAGTATCTCAGGCCCGTGTTTTGCAATCTCTAGATTTAGCTGTGTCGTTATGGGCCCGAGAGATGATTACGCCCCTCTTCACCTACCTTGTGGGGAATTTTTCACTTCCTTGCACCCCCAACAAACCTAATAACTCTTGTGATTAAAGTGTCCCCCTGCAGAAGCTACTGTAAAAGAAACAGGCAATACTTAAAAATCAAATCCCTCGTACAGTTGAACCTCTTTTGTACGAACCTCAATAAAACGAATTCCTCGATAAGACGAATTTTTTTTAATCCCCTTGACACTTTCATATAGGTCAATGCTAAAAACACCTCTATACAACGTAGTAATTAAGTTTAAAACCTCCATAAGACGAATTTTTGTGTGACATGGGCTAGGACTGATTAACCTCTATACAACGAATATTCTTAGCACAAAACCTCTACAAGACGAACATGACCTCTATAAGACGAATTTGTCATAATCTTAACCTCCATAGTACGTAGTTTTCAAAACAAACAGAAGCTTGTCTCAACATGAAACCCCCACCCATCCCTCCTCCTTCCTCAGTCATTGTTTGGAGAAACCTTGGAGCGAGGAGAAACCTCTATAAGAAGAATAACAGCAGCATTAAACCTCGATAAAACGACCCTCTTTATTAAGAATACCTCTATAGTACGAATTTTTCCCGTACCCCTTGAAATTCGTCTTATAGAGGTTCAACTGTATTTGATTGCTACCAAAACTACACTATGTTTGTATGTATTACATGTTTGATGTTTGTACATTTTGCCAAATATATGATTACAGATTAATGAGGTCAGACATACTGGCATCAGCTGTTCTCTGTGATGTTGAGGAAACTGTAAAAGATGCTAAATCCAAGTTCCACTCATGGATGACTAAAGGGACCAGGATACCACCAAATCTTCGTGAAGTGGTTTATTCAGCTGGTAAGTTTCTTTGACATACAAAAAGCAAATTCTTTATTTTATTGTGAGAAAACTGTCTATTTTATCAATACAAAAATGTATTGAAATAGTGTTTTTAAATTTTACACACACTTACATTTACTTTATTATCTTGGTAACATTATTTTGTGTAAGATGTGTGTTATTGTTGTTCTTCAAGAATTTAAATTGTATTCAATGTTAGTAACCATTAACCTAGTGTTATACTCCTCTACTGCCATACAGGTATAAAGTACGGGGGCGTGAAGGAGTGGCAGTACTGTTGGACCAAGTACAACAACAGTGGAGTGCCGAGTGAGCGCAAACTACTGCTCCGAGTCATGGGAGTGGCCTCCGACCCCTGGATACTACAGAGGTAGGCATATTACCAGCAGCGATCTGCTGTAGCCAGTACTGGTTAACTAAACTAACTTGCTCATTTTATGAAAAAACTATCAGGTAAAAGGTAACTGAGTATTTTTCAGTACTGGTAACTGAACTTACAACCAAGACTAATAATTTAAGACTTTTTGGAAATCAGGAAGTTGATCAAAATTAGAGTACCAAAAATGTCCAACCTCCTCAATTTCACTACTCCTGGTGTTTAACCTGGTTTTTTCCCAGGCAGTAGGACGAGGTAACAGATAAATCTTTTATTTGACATATGCATTACGGTAGTTTTTTTTGTGTTTCCATTACAAATGTAGTACGGCTATAAATGAGCAAGCCTTTTTTACCCTTATCTCTTTTTTTTTGTTCTGTTTATGGTGTGATGTCCTGATGTCAAACCTGAAAGTATGAGGGGTTCTACTGCATTCATAAAATCAAACCAACTTTTGACTGTTTTCTCAGGTATCTCCTAGCGACTCTGGACAGAGACAAGGTGCGACCGCAGGATGTGAAGGTTGTGATCGCAACAGTTGCCTCCAACCCAGAGGGCCGGCTGCTGGCTTGGAGGCATCTGAAGGCGCACTGGACCACTCTACAGGGTCTGTTTGGCAACTCCACCTTCACCATGGGGAGTCTCATAGGCAGTGTCACGTCCCACTTCTCAACTCCATTTGACTACAAGGAGGTAAACATTGTTTAGACGTTGTGTATCAGGGTCTTGTTTCTATTATTTTATGGTTAATTTAATGATTTGTGATTTACTGTTTGGTTATATAACTATAGAACGAGTTATTGTTTATGATTAGATTGTTTTATTTGGTAAAACAAGGTTTTAAATTACCAAAAAAAAAACAAGAAACTAATTGTAAACAAAACAAAACCTCTACAGTGCTTCACGCGGAGCTAACCATAAAGTTTTCTTCAGCTGATACATAGCAATGAGAAATCCACTCAGGCGTTATGTTTTATCCATGCAGTAGTTTCTATTCTACTAAATTTTCAATACCTATGGTAATAAATATAGCAAAAAGCAGATGAAAATATTGTTTCGAGTTTACAAAATGGTACTCTCTTTTATCATAAGTCTGAAATACCATAATGTAGCTTAACTTTTGAAACCTACAAAGTACCTTACAAAGTAAACCTTATACAAAACCTTACAAAGTATTTTTAAATCCTTCATAAGGAATTGTTTGTTTGTATAGCCAGCTAAAATTAGGGTAAACTTCAGCCAAGTCACCGAATGTTAGAGATTTCAAACAATTTTAAACTGACGACCACAATAGAGTCAACAATGAAATAAGACATTATAACCCTTAGCGTTTGAGGGAAGTAACTGTTTAAGAACCCATTTCTCACAACATTTACGGTTATCTAGGTATCCAAGTTCTTCCGCTACCTGAACGTGGGATCCGGAGGTCGATCACTGGAACAGAGTCTGGAGACTATCCAGCTCAACATCCACTGGGTGAGACGCAACGAGGAGCCAATGTTTCAGTGGCTCACCAACTATCTGGAGAGATAGTTCCGGCACACTAGACAGTTCGCCCGTGTGACTCTCTACTGCACGCCTGACTCCGGAGTCATGCCTCTCTGTCTCTAGTCTCTGTGATCTCCTCCGACACTAGTCAATAGATACGTGTGGTCCCCGACATATTGTAACTGTGCCAAAAACCACCAAAGTGAGCTATTTTATCAAGTAGTATAACTCAATAGTTTCATTGTCTTTTACCGGTACTTGTTCTAAAACGGTTTTATTTTGAGAAAATAAATGTTTATTTTATTATTTATCCCCCATTTCTTCTCATCTATGAGCATGTATACATTTCAATGAATCAAACCTGCTCTTAAAAATAATAAATTGAAGAAAACATTGTTATATACTGTCTGGCTAAATATTTAGATCCAATTATTCGTGAAGAATTTCATGCATAAACCTTGATGAAACCTAAGTACAGTAATCATCATCAGACAATGTGACATTTCAAAGAACCGTAACTAATTCATAAGAATCTGTAACCTCTCCCAATCCACCATTGTGCTAAATAGTAGACCAGTTAATAAAAATCCACAGCCAGTTAAATAAAAAAAAATCAATGTACAGTAAACTGATTACTAATAAATTGACAATAACTACCTACGTAATATATCATTACACAACTGTAAATGGAAATTTAATTTGAATTAGATAGTTTACCAGGCTGCAATTTCCTTAAAATATCCTTTCCATGAATATTTATTTAATATTTAATTATTCATGGTTAAATAACCAAATCGATTGATTTTATTGTTATGGTTTCAAAGAAAAATATATTGAACATATAGTATAACATTTTCTAAACACATTCCTATTTGTTGAAATGAATAAACAAAATGTACTCTTAACTAGGATGTCTTAGTTAAAAATTAAGGTTGAAATACTATAATATGATAACTGAACAATAACTGTACAATATTTAATTGAGAATGTTATCTTAGAATAAGGACATTTTATTGAGACACACCACATTTTATTAGATAATGTAACTCAATTTGAATAAATTGTTTGGGCCTAAAGTGTAAATTTGTGATGTGTTATTAAAAAATATATATTTAGGTTGGTACGCATGAGTGTCCAATGAGGTCCAAATTGCAACATCCGCATAGCTCTTCTTTGTCTTAAATAAAAAATATTTATAGGTATATATGTAAATAAACCATTACCGGTATCACACCTTACTATGCGTTAAAAGCTTTTATTGGCTTGGAACAATAATACAATTAGCAAACATGGATACAATAATTCATGGGTAAAATAACATGAAACATATTTACAATGCCCAAACTATAAAAATTAAAATACAAATTTATATATGGAATCATGCCTAAAATAAATATTATAAATTGCAAAATTGCAAAAGTTGTTTTACTATTTCAAGCTAAATAAAAGTTTTGAGTGAATTGTCTTTAGGTTTGTTGAAGTTAGTAAAATACCAAAACAAGTATAATTGGAACCATCATAAATACTTTGTGTAGTTTGAAATTAATCAACCAGGTATAAATTGTAGAACCCAAACTATGGTAAACAACGTTATTGCGAAGAAAGGAGACGGGAATTGCTTATTAATACATTTTTAAATGATTCATGTTTCAATTTGATAATATTTTCTACTGAAATAATAGTATGAAAATGGACATAAAACATTTAACAATACCTTATGTTTTGTACAGTATTTAATTTTTTTCTACAGAACCTTTACCATTCATAAGTTTTTTACTTGTTTTAACGTATTGATTTCTTTCACAGGAATAATTCATACCGGTACAGGTTTTATCATAGAATAATATCAGTAAAGTAATTTCTTTATGTAGGTGCAAAATTTATACAAAAGCTTTGAGTAATTTTGATAGTCTATAAAGGTCTTTTGGTAATATTAAGATCAATAAGAAAAACTACTTGTGATGCTACTTTTATGATAAATTTTGAACTGTTTTTGTAGATGTGAATTTAAAGTGGTCATAAGGAGTCAATTAGTTTAAATTTCTAAATTTTTCTCAGAGTTTTTATGTTGCTAAAAGTGGATTCTTCATATTTATTAGAAACTCTTGTTAGTATATATATTTTTTATTTTTATTAAAACATTACTAAAACTCCAGTAGCAAATCTAGGTACTTGGAGATTTTATAATTTTATACATCCAAGTGTCCAGGTTGAAAATAGTGTTTAAAATATTACCTCATTATTTTAACTATAAAATGCTATTAGTTAGTAGTAAAAAAATAGATTTTAATTTTATATTTTTGTACCTATGTGAGGTAGACCAATTGTAGAACAATTTTGTAAATATTATAAAATACTATCTGTCCATCATTTTACCATATCACACTTTTAAAAAATATTTTAGATGTAGTTAAAAACATAAATAACATAAAGTAATAATTTTGACATTAATTTATACATATATGCATGAAATAGTTTTGATATGTTAATTATGCTAAACATTCTGTAGGTTCAATTTTAAGGTTCCAAGCTTTATGTGAGTAATGCGTTAAAATTTAGAAAATAGTGTGGAATGATAGAATCGCCATTTAAGCATAGTAAGACCACAAAATATACTTGGACTTGGATACAACTGATCAAATATGGCAAACTTTTTTGTAATATCACAAAAGGAATGTTGCAAGAGAGTACACAGGTATAGCGATTTTCTTGTATGTTATATTTGTTGTTTTCTTGGATGATATCGCCAAGTTGAATTGAACTAAAGTACATTGACACAATCTATATAATTAATACGCTACATGAAACTTTGTCGGTTGAACTCCTCCGCCATTTCTTAACCGATTTTATCCATTGACGTCTCATTGGAAAGAACGTGTCGCGTAGATTTGCAAACTGATCCTACATTTTTGAAAAAGTCCCTTGGGCTCTGCCCCAGTGGCTGTTAAAGTTCCCATGTTATCCTTATGAAGAACATAATTGTTTACATTTTGATCAGCTGTATAATTTAATTGCTGTTATTTATTTTTCAATTCAAAGTCTTTTAAACTCATCGGAAATTGTGATGACTTTTATTTGTTTTTAAATAACTACTTTACTTCTTTGCAATTGCTCGATTTCGAGCAACGTGTTTACTAGTAAATATAGCTGATTAGTGTATATGTCAGGTCCTCATATGATCAAGGCCACTTTAGTAAATGGGCCCACAGATGTTTTTGAAAATTACCCCATAAGAGAGGGGGAGCAATGATCCCTCGGTCCCATAGTGTCACATGCAAACTACGGCATTCATATAACGATAATTTATTTGAAAAATTTTTAATTTATCAAATAAAATACAGTTTACAGCATGATTTGGTATCCATAAGTGGTGATTTGTTGTGCAGGTGATCCACCCAAACAGCCTGGGTGCAGTAGTAAGAAAAAAATATTCCTCATTTAATGTTGGAAGCATGCAATCGCTACCATTCTTATGTATCAGTATTATTAGTTGTAATCTTTAATAAAGAATAAAGGCTATGTTGTACATACTCTAAATTGTGACAAAATAGATAAATTATGCATTTGTTTTGTTTAATTAAAAACATGAACAATTACACAATGTCATTAATTTATTCTAACTATTGATATTGTGTGTTTTTTTTTTTACTGAAATATGTGTTTTTACATATTTATGTGTCTGTTACTTTTATTTTGTTGATGTATATGTTGTGAGTTTTGTAAATTAGACTAGGTATGTTATTTATTACAATTTAAGAAAGCGTTGAGGAATTTAAAACCTGTAAACACAAAACAACTAAATTAGATCAAAAGAGATAATGTATACTTCATAATAAGTGAGACAGGAGTTTCATTGTGGAGATTTTGTGTTCACACAAAACAACAGATTAACTAATGCATATCAGTTGTAAAAAATATATAGTAATGTTTCTCTCTAAAAGACTATAAAGAATTTTCCTGGCTACAAAATATATTTAAAATTAGTCAAATCATTAATAAAGAGTGCTAGGTAGCATAGACAAACTCTCAAATGAATTGCAATTTCAAAGTATTTCTGCTGCATTTCTCAGTTTTGGAGCGACAAATTGTCATCTCATTGGCAATTTGCAATAGCAGAAGTTAACGGCTAATAAATTTTAACTTCAATAAATTACGTCATTATTCGTGGGTGTGCTTATAATCCTCATGGGTGATTCACTTCTAGTGCTTTAAATGCATGCTTTGATTTTTCCAGAAGAATTTTATTATTGAATGCAATGCTCTTGATACAATTTCCTTTGATCCACAAATTGTAACCTATCTACCGATAAAACCATCAGATATACACTTTTCTCCTAATTTGCTCATAACAATAAATTATTGTTTCCTTAGAGCTAGGGTGCTTAGAATAAGATCTGTCTGTATACATTATATTTAATAAGCTAAATAAGTATATATTTTTACAAACAAGCCATAAATGTCTATAGTGTCTTTAATAAGTTACTGCTGCGTGTAAACTTGATTTAATAGTTGTAAACTTATTTTGTTTATAATCAAAATTGTAAAAAGTAAATAAAAATTGCAAATAACAACAACTGAAGCAACTTTATTCAGTAGGTACCTACTCAACCTTATCATAATTATTATTAACCTATCTATCTAAATCTAAACCTACCTACCTATCTAATATATTCATTAGATTGAATATATCAAATGAACTCATTGAGACCCCAACATGATTGCAAACTTGTTCAATGAATATTTCATGTCTATAGCTGAAGAAACACTTAGAGCCAACCCTTCAAAGAAAAATTACCAGCAAATCCATCAGCTCCTCCAACCATCTACGGATCACCTTGGGTTGCTCTTGTTTCAACTAGCAACTAATGACGAGATTCGAAACATAAGAACTCTAAGGCCAACCTAATCAACTGGAGTGGACAATATTTCCTCCAGGATGTTGAAGTTTTGTGAAGATGAGCTCTGTTTACCATTGACCGATATTGTCAATAAGTCCTTGTCTCAAGCAACCTTTCCTTGTGCCATGAAAATCTACCCTCTTCATAAAAAAGGGAAAACTGATGAAGTGGGCAACTACAGGCCAATTTCCTTGGTCCCCACGTTTCTAAAGGGTCTGGAGAGAGTTATTCTGGCCCGTCTCCAGAAGTATCTACACCAGAAAAGCCTTCTGCCAAAGGGACAACATGGTTTTATTCCTGGCAGATCCACCATCACTGCTGTGACAGATATAATCGAACACATCCTGGACAACTTGGCTGTGCAGCCTTCCTGAATCTCAGGAAGGTGTTCTATTGCCTAGACCATCATAGAGAAACTTCAAACATTTGGTATAGATGGTTCAGCACTCACCTGGTTTGGTTCCTACCTCTCCAATAGACAGCAGCTAGTTGAAATTAGGCATACTGCAAATGGAACAACTAGCGTGGTAAAATCTAAGCTGTTAGATGTATCGAGGGGAGTGCCACAAGGTTCTGTTTTGGGCCCAGTCCTGTTCGCACTGTTTTCAGCAGATTTCCCTGACTACATGGATTAGCATAGCCACACTGTTATGTTTGTGGATGACTCGGTACTTTTAACCAGCAACAATGAACTGGAGCCCCTTGAGCTAAACAACCTTCTTGCCATCAAAAGAGCCATGGAATACTGTGCAAACAATGACCTGGTTTTCAACAAAAACAAAACGCAGCAAGTTTTCTCTGGGAAACTTAAGGAAGACTCACTTGCCCCCTGACATACAAGCTACACTGAATCAATAAAACATCTTGGAATAACCCTGGACCAGTAACTGCGTTGGGGTGCCCACATCGACCATCTCTGCCAACGACTCAGCTCCTCCATTTTTGCTCTAAGAAGGATCAACAGTATTGCAACAGCCGATGCAACACAGGCAGTATACCACGCACTCGTTGAATCCCATCTTGGATATGGTGTAATTCTATGGGGAAACTGTGCAAAGGCAAGCACTCAGCGAGTTTTTGTTCTACAAAACCTTGCTGTGAGAATTCTCGGGGGCCCCCAGCAGCAAGAGAGTTGCAGGGACGTCTTCAAGTCTCTCCAAATCAAATACTTCCGCTGGCCGCCATCAATTACATCTGCCATTATACGTCTGCGAGGTTGTTGCCTTTTCTACTTCCCTTAACCTCCCAAGGAATTCAAATATCCATAAACACATTACCAGAAACCAATTCAAACCAAAGCTAATTTCAACCTTCCCGTCCACCAAACCTCCAAATTCTCTAAGAAGCCATCCTATGCTGGGTCCAGACTTTTTAACCTTCTCCCGATAGACATCAAAGCCGGCATCCCAGGGACAATGAAGAAAAGACATCGGAAATAAATGGATGCTCAAAGAGTTTGAAGCCCAATGTAGAAGAACATAGAAGAGAATGCCACTTTTTCTTAAAGAAGCCAAAGACATAAAAAAAACATGTATTTTATCTCTATACTTTTGTGACACTATTTCTAAGGTCAATGCTTATGTAATAAAGTTCTCTCTCTCTCTCTCTCTCTCTCTCTCTCTCTCTCTCTCTCTCTCTCTCTCTCCCTCTCTCCCTCTCTCTCTCTCTCTCTCTCTCTCTCTCTCTCTCTCTCTCTCTCTCTCTCTCTCTTCATCATTCAAGTTATTACTGTTTTATTAAACTATTATTACCTGTGAAGTTTGATACTGTGATAGATAGCTGCAAACATTGGGAATAATCATCGGATTATATAAACAAAGTACCAATTAAATGGCATACTTGTCCCATTTTGAATGAACCATGAAGCTATTTTCGGGGTTTCAACAGCGGTTTTTCCTAAAAGGCATTTTGAAGGCGATGCTGTATCTTCTTGATTGTCCAACAACAGCAAAATTCACTTGTTAGGGTGCAACGATGACAATGTTTTGGGCCGCTTATCCCACTGCTGCAACATAACCACTTTGCTTCGGCTTTGTAGATCTCAATGTAAACCACTTTTTAGGAAACTTAAGATATTGACTGCTCCATCTTTGTATGTTTTTGAATGTTTAGTGTATATTGTAATTAATTTAGATCAGTTTAAAACTAATAGTTCTGTTCATAACTATGGAACAAGACAAAAAAATCATTTAAGAATCAACTAATGTAATTTTCAAAGAACTATTAATTCAACTTTAGAGGTTGGTAAAAGAATGTTTAACAGATTACCTGAAAATGTAAAAAATCTTAACTTTGAATAATTTTAGAAGGTTTTTGAAAGAGTTTTTGATAGATTTGTCCATGTACAAAGTTTAAGAATTTAATGAATACTGGGATTCTGCATGTAGACGCCATCTTGACTAAAATTGCATTGTTTCATTTAAGTATTGAATGAGGATTCAATACTATCCTATGTGATAATTAAAACTATTGTATTGATAATGCACCTATTTAAGGTTACAATGTGTAATCATGTAAATGTTTTGTGCAAATAAAGATTGATATGATTTCCATTCTAAGGCACTTTATTGATGACAAACATTATGGCCATAGCTACTTTTAACTAACAGCCAAATACAGTAATCCAGATGGTGCAAATATTCACATACCTATGTTGGTTGAACCGTAAGTTGACAACGTGAGCATTTATTAATTCAAATAATCTTTATTTGTAAGTAGCATATAATACATACATAAATAGTGTCAAAATACAGGTATGTGAAAAGTATAAATCAAAGTTTTCTTTGAGTTTTTGTTGAAATGTTGATAGCTTTGTATTAAATAAACAAAATTGCAAAATTTGATTAAAATATATGCATAAACAATCAAAGTACAACAGTTTTCAACAGTATTTTTCCATAAGAATAACTTGAGAAATTTTTAAAATTATCTCAGTAATAATTGTTGGGCATACAACAATTAATGCTTCAATATACAAAATTATTTCTTTTTTTAAGCTGAACAAAATGGTTTGGGGAGTAATTATGAAATTTTGTGTTTTTAGGGTCAAAAATGGGAAAATCAATTTGTACACCATAAAACCCCCGTTCCCATGGTCCGATTATGCTCATTAGCAATCTAGTATGAATAAATGTAGGTTTTACACGTTTGTACCAAATCTAATCAAAATCGGATAATTTTTGCTCGAGATATCGTGCTAATGGACATATAAATAAATATATATTAAATATATTTTTATATGAATTTGAACTGACGGTATTTTTGGCCTCTGGAGACTTCAAAACGAAAAAGTAAATTGGTCCCAGGTTAGGTCTTACCATGAGACCTACGGTAATAGCTTATTCCCTATGTGGGAAATTAGCTAAAAACCCCTTTTTTGGTTCAGAGAGACCCAAAACGTGATACATCCACCCAAAACTCAAACTCGGAAAACGTTGACAAAACAATACTTTCTCTTTGTCCGCGATATACTACTATGTATATTTGGAGAAACTGTCATTTATGAAAATATCAGCAGTATTACAATAATAGTGTAAAACACACTGCATTTCTTTGGGTGTTGCAGAATTCAAACTTCGATAAGACGTCTCAGATTCCCGCCAAACAGGTCTTGGGTTAACATATAATTAGAAGGGATTTCCTGGTTTTGACGTCATCAGGACAGAACCTAGAATTATTGTTCTGCGGCTGTGGCACCAAGTTTACGTGTTTACGGCTATACTTTTGGCGTAGTTTTAGTTTTGATTTATTCAGTGGTAAATTATAAAAAGTTAGCAGTACCATAAAATTGTCACTTGAAATTTCCGGCGATTGTAGTGTTAGATCATCCAATCAAATCGATATTGGCATTTATTTGTAGTTTCTCTTAGGTAAAATGTGGGAAGATTATGAGGTTGGCAGCACTCAGCAAGTGTCACTCAATGCCATCGAAGATATTTCTAAGGTAAGCATTGTTACTTGTATTGCCACTTTTTCACAAGTTAAATACATAAGTACAGTATATTATATATATAAAAAAATACCCCCGCCGCAGCAAACCTGCCGTCTAAGCGAATTTCCATTTGGCCGAATTGATTTTCATTTGATCTATTTAAATAACATTAGGTTTAACGAGTACCTAGGTTTGCTGCTACAAGGAAACTAATAAAGTAGTGTGTTTTAGTAAAATATTGATAGCTTACTATAAAATAAATAAATTTGCCAAGTTTGATAAAAATATATCCATAAACAAGCAAACTACAACATTTTACAATATTCTCCATAAGAATAACATGGGAATTTTAAATTTACAATTGTTTTAGTTTTCTCCGTAACCAATAACCGTACAAAAACACTTTGATATACTGAATTGTTTGTTTTTTTAAGCTCTTTAAGAAGGTTTAGAGAAAAATTGGGAAATTTTGTGTTTTGAGGGTAAAAAGTGAGAAAAACCAATTTTTACCCCATAAAACCCCCCATAAAACCCTGTTCCCATGGTCCGATCATGCTGGATCGCGAACTCATTCAAGTTTATCCCGCCTTACACCTTCAAACCAAATTTCATCAAAATCGGATAAAAATTACTCAAGTTATCGTGTTCACGGACACATATATATATATATAAATCTATATATATATATATATATATACCTATATATATATATATACATATATAAAAATTTGAACGAATGGTGTTTTTGGCCTCTGGGGACATTAAAATGAAAAAGTAAATCGGTCCCGGGCCTAAGTCTTACCATGAGACCTACGGTAATAGCTACTTCCCTATAGGGAAATTCGCTAACACTAATAACTGTTATCACGAGTAGACTTTTTGTTATGAGGTGACCAGTTTATAGTCTCGAATCTTAACAGAGATGGCACTGGTGACGTCATTAAAAATAAATATAACATCAAGCAGTACATAAATTAAATTATTAAAATTTACTTTTAGATAGTTACGTCTACGTCACTTAAAAATACAAGTTACATGCTCAGAGATTCTTCATTGACTTTGTTGGTGCCATGCCATTAGCAGTGTTGCCGCCAATTTCATTTTAATCCTGCCAGTGCTGCCACTCGCCACTGAGCTTGGATAGCGCTGGGTTCACAACGATATGGTAGGCATACGGTTAAGTATCGATCGTCGTAGTATGAAAACAGCTACTATCGAATATCGTAAATCGATTGGCTTCCATAGCGCCAACCAACCAACCAAAACGTAAACAAACCAGTTTAGCTGCTAACTCATGTTTTCCAATTTTTATTTTATTAATAAAAATGTCATCATATTTAATTATTAATTAATTGTTTAATGTAAAACAGATTGTAAATAAACTTTGTTAAAAAAAACCAAACCAACCAACACCGACACTCGACAGACAGAAGAGAGAAGACAAGAGATTACAAAAACTACTAGCACTAGCCTAAAAGGAGAGGAAAATATTTGATTAAATTTATTCCAACATTGTTCCTTTTGATCAGTTTCATGGTGCATAGTGCATTATTATGGAGGAAATATGCAAAGGTCATCTAAACGCTTTTAAAAGTAAGGGGGTGGTAATTTATCTGGCGTTAATTGCGCAAGTTACTGGAATATTAATTTTAAAATTCCTCCGTAATTTAAGTTCTTATATATTTATCATGCTGGTTATCAGCCTTACTGTAATTGGATAATAAACATTTTCATTGGCAAATTTTATGCCAGGTTCAGATATTATGTTGTACTTATTTATTTGCATTCACTCTCACTGTAATATTGTGAATAAAATTATGGCCTTCCGTCGTCAAGGCCACATTATGACGTTTGACGACAGACATAGGAGCTATAGGAGCAGCTGCAACAGAAGGCACCAAGGCAATAGTTTACTATTACCAAAGATTACGATTACATATGCTATTCCACCATGAGTATGAGCATAGATAAAACATACTCCCTTGGTATGAGACAGCCGGTGCGGTGAGCCAGAGAGCCGATGCCGATACTAAAAGTCGATGTCTGTCATCCGGTAGAAAACAAGCTCGATATTTAACCGAATGCCTACCATATCGTTGTGAACCCAGCGCTATCCACTGAGCTTGAGCTTCAGAAAACAGACGACGCAACGTAACAGCGATCGGTTGGGTTTGCCTTGCCTGCCGTTGCCGAGCCGCAGCCGAGCCCGCCCGAGTATCATTATCATTCTCAACTCAAGTCTCGTCAGCCCCACAGCTGATCTCTGAAAAGCTGACTCATTGTTACCCTTTCTAGTGTGTGATGCCCGGTTATAAAAATTACATGTGTATTGGTTTTGTTTTCTGATAGGCCTAATAGAGTTTACTCTCTGAGAAACGATTTTAATTTCCTAAAATTTGTGAATATTTTAAAAAACTATCCGTCTTGTTGTTGTTGGACACAGTTTGAATCAGTCACTGACATTGCCGGCGTCTGTCACTTTACCGATTCATAGTCTAGCATGTATTGCTGCATTACAGTCACAGTCAGTAAGTTAGGTCGCTGTTGTTGATTGTTATAAATTTGTTGATATCCGTTTCATGTGTTATGATGTTACTTCAACTGAAGATCTTAGGATACAGTAATTGATGGAGAGGACTTAGCTTCAAAGGCTCTTTGAAGGTAAGAAAGAGGTTATGCTATTTACAATTTTTAGCCAACTTAAGTCTTAGGTTTGGGTACCTACTATATGGCAAATGTCAAACTTATAGGCCTACTTTTGATTAAATAAGTAGGCCTAAGGCCATTAACTTAGCTTTTAATTTTTAGAAATTATTGCACAACGATAGCCTAACTTAACCTTTATCATACCTTAAGTTTAGTCGGTACTTTCAAACGTCATAAGAGTGTAGGCAGGCTATGCTTAAGTTAATTTTTATGCAGAGGAAACGCGTCCGGTAACCGGGCTTGGATTAGGCATCTGGCAATTAAGTTACTGTCATAACCTAACCTAACCAACCAAACTTGCTGATATCTAATGAAAAAATCAAATGAAGGTTAAATTTTGTTCATAAAATAAAGTTATAAATGCCAAAAATTCTAACCAAAGATGTAGCCTACAGTTAAGTAAGAATAAATGGCATTCAAAGCAAAGTCTTTTGACAAAAAGTTAAAGTTACCGTACCGATGAGATACGAACCAGGGACCTCTTGCAAATCAGTCTTCAAGCACTCTATCCACTATACCACAAACACAGATGGCTGAACATCGTATTGTTGTGGTAAGTTAATGGCGTTCTGGGCCCCCACAACCCGGTGACGTCACTGCCAGACGCCTAGAATCCACGGGGTCTGGTTACCGGATGCGTATCCTCTGTACTTTTTACGTAGGTCTAATCTAACATGGAGAAAGTCAATCTAGGTCTATGTCCATAGGTAGTTATAGGTGGGATTTGGAGACTAAAGGTTATTGATTTTCAGGCCAAGGTGTGGGCCTAAGTTACTGGTAGGCCTTACTTACGTTAAAATAGGGTTTTTTTAGACCTAAGTTAAGCTCTGGCTGTAGCCTTAATTTCTTATTACCGTAAGTTAAAAGAGGTGAGTAGCCAGGACGCTTGTAGAAATAATTTATCCAATTTTTCTTAAAATAACCCTAGAATTCTTGCCCCCCCCCCACTGGGAAAATACCAAAATTTTCTCCTGGCTCATTTTTAATACTATGAGGGAAAGAAAGTAAAGGCACCCCTGAGCTTCCTGCCCTAGTAGACCTATCTTTTAGTTGACCTGTTTATTGGACAATCTAAATCAAGGTTGATATAGAACCCCGATTTTGTAATGGGAGATCTTAAAGAGACTTTACCCTGCATGAGCATTGGCATTTAATTACCGGTAGGTAGTTAAGATGCTAAGCATGTCTAAATTAACATAACTTACAGTTTAGTTGTTAAGATAATATCCAGCTATCTAAAATTGTTAAACCCCTTCTTGTCGCCCTAAGTACCTAAATAACTTACCTACTTAATCAGAGAGGGCGACATTATTTGGAAACATTTCACCCCATTGCAAACTGTGGTTACAACAATCATCTAATTGTGACGTTTGTAATCAAGAAAACACTTGCTAACTACCTTGGTGTAGTATGCTTAATGCCAGGTGTGAACTCTGTCCAACCAATTTAGACAATCAATTTTAAGTTTTCCTAAGATCTAGCCTGAAATAAAAAACTAAGTTCTGTGCTGATTGTGACAAAATCATCTGCAAGGTTTATTTAAATTAAAAACTTTAACTTAATAGAGGGGATTTCATAGAAAATAATGGTATAAAAGCTTATGTCCCACAACTAACACCTCTCGTCATGGGACCGGGTACGCGCCAGAGTGGGGTAGCACGTCCATTCCTGTAGGTAGTCGGTACCGTGTCTAAACATCAAAGGCGCGGGTTGGAGCGAGGACCGCCCTGGGCCAGTCACGGGCGAACAGGTGACTTGTTGAGCTGTCCGTTAATCTGCTAGTTTTTTGTTAGCTTTTGTGCAAAAATGGAGTTTTTGGGTTTGTTTGAGAGTGAACCAGTGATATGGAACCCAATGACTTAGAACCATAAAGACAAACTACATTTTCAAGCGTGGAAGCGCATCCATTCTCAACTTAGTGTCCAGTCCTCATTAAAGGAATTGAAATAGAAGAAAGTTTGATGCCTTGCCACAGAAAGCTGTAAAAATTATAAGTAATTAATAAATACAGTAGTAAAAAAAATAAACCCAACAATAAATAAAGCAGCGCACGCTAAATTCACTATCACTTCCCGAATCACTCATCATTTATTTATTTATTGACAAATGGCTGACGCCAATACATAGGAGATTTAGATTGATACAATTTGAAGAAAAATAACAGCTGCAAAATGAGAAACAATTCAGTACAGTATAACATGCAATAACATTTGACAACAATAATTGAACAATATAATAAATAACAATAAAAAGCAACAATAAATACAAGTTAACAAACAGGAAGAAGTTTCAATAACAATCTCAAATTCCAGGAAATTTTGATAACTAATTTGGGTGCAAAACAAAAATAACAATATTGCATGGACCGAAACAAGCAAAACACAACCAAACATAACAGAAAAAGCGAAAAATCTGCCGTGATGTTTACAAAACAAGAAAGGGCAGTTTTGAAATTACGTCATTAATCATTAAGGGCTCGATACAAATAAAGTTTAGGAATGATGTCTCTATCTTGTACACCATCCACTGCAGCCCCCAGTCGGCGAAACGCGTCATGGGACAGGTCTTGCGTGGAGCAATATGTGCACCGACGCCCCAACCTGCGGATTTTCACCGAAAGTTGCATGGTGTTCCGCACAACGCGTCGTAGGACATAGTTTTATCCTAAATAGTCTCGTTATTCTAGCTCTATTCTGTAGCCTACAATGAAATTTAATTTATGCCAGTAAAGCCCAAAAAATACCTTGTGCGGCCTAACAAAAATAGCAGCCAACTTCCTTAGAACGAAGCTAGATAAAATTATGGATACTCCATTTTTGCACAAAAGCTAGCAACTTTTAATTGATACACTACAAAATATTAGACAACATGTTAAGAAAAGCTAAATTAAAAAGACAGAAAAATCAGAGAACTAGAGCCACATTTCTGAAAAGAAAAAAGAAAATAATTGGATTAGGCCTAGTATGACGTACAACTCAAAATTCGCAAGAAACATTAAGAGCATTTAAAAAAATAAAACATCACAAAATTTAACTTTCAGACCTATTAACCTACTGAAATCGAAATTAGGCAATCCTAAAGAAAAACTATCAAAATTTGACATCTCTGGAATTTATGAAATTAATTGTAGGTAATGATTGTAACATGAAATATATCGGCCACACAAAAAGAAAAGTCCAAACAAGATTCAAAGAACACCAAGCTCATGCAAAGTACAGAAGACCTGAGAAGTCAGCCCTTGCTAGCCTTAGTATTTAATAATCTTACTAATATTATAAATGTGAAAGTTAGTGTGTTTGTTTGTTTGAAGTTCAATCACACATTAATTACTCGACGGATTGGGCAGAAATTTGGCATGATGATAGCTCAGATTCCCGATTAACATATAGCCCTAGGCATATTCTCATCTCAAAGATCCTTTCGGGCTCCGCCCCAGTGACTCTGGAGTTTCCCATGTTAACCTTATGAGTCCTCATATTTTAATGGAATTAAAGAATTTTAATCCATGCCCCATTCTAGGCCTATTAATTTTTATATATTTTTCCAATAGGCTATCCTTTACAACATCTGTTTAACTTTGTTTAAAATTAATTTATTATTAAGTAAATATTTACTTTTTGTACTACTGGTAGCGTACCGGTAGTTTCTGAAAGCGCTAGTAAATAAAATAAAATCATTATATAATGGCCTTGTTGAACCTGTAAATTTAATTATCGATTTCATTATTAATTGCCAATATCTCCAATATAAGTTAACTATATAAAATAAATAAAAAAATGGATTTAAGATACTTATTATAAGGGTAACAAACGGTATGAAAATAGTCAAAATACAAAATGGTCAAGCAACCCTCATTGGATAACTTCAGATGGATTGACCAGAGGGTAGGCCTACGATAAAACTTCGGGTTTTTCGAGTAACCAAAGCTAATGTTGAGTTTTGAAAGTGCTACTGTAACTTATAGGCCTATGTAAACTTGCTGAACATTCGAGATAACTATATCGAGGTGTTGGGTTCTGAAAATGATGATGTCATGAACTTTGAGTATAACTGGATTTAATTGATTATCAGGCGATATCTCGATTGTGAAGGGGTTATGATAAAAATTTTAATTTTACAAGTAAGCGAGGTTTGTTAGAAGGTGCTATCTAGGGAAATTTTAAAGGCCACTGAGGCAGAGCCCCAAGGGAATTGACCTTGTTTCTCTTTTGATGGCTTATCTACAGACCAAGACTTTTCTTACTTTATACTTTTCAATGAAATGGCGACCATATTTTAAGCCAAGTATGAATGGAGATGACTGTAGGATGAATGGCGCGATCTTTTAGTCTTGTTACTGACTAAGGCCAACATTCCTTAGACACAGCACAAATGGCAACTAAGGGACCTACAGTTTATATAGTGGAATCCGATCCACATTTTTGCCTTGGTATTTACAAATTGGTCTAACTATCAGGATAGTTGTAGTACTCACCAGTGCGGACGTTAATCCACACCAGGGTGTATAGTATCCACAGTGCATGCCTATAAATATCCACAATTCGTGACCTCTTTAGACACCTCTAGCTTCTACGCCCAGCCGCTCTCTCAAATTAGTTGTCACAAAAACCCCTTTTTTCCTCCATAAGAATAACATGGGAAGAGAATTTTAAAGGCCGCTGGGGCAGAAGCAAATAGGCATACTAGTTCACAAGAGATTGAGATAAAAAGTAGTTTTTGCTTACAAATCTAGGCCTATTTAATTTAGCAATTTAGCTTTATAACCCTCCCATACAATATCTGTATCTCACAGGCCTATCATTAAACCCATTCCTATTCTAAATTCAATTGGGCCTCTCCATATTAATCATGTTTGGATGAAATTTTATCAAGGAGAGCAAAGCAGATAATTTATCAAAAAATCTAATGAATGTCTCTGTTTTCAAATGTTTTTCCTGAATCAACCCGGCTTTAAATTCAATGGTAAATAAAATTTGCAAAATCGTTAGAGGTGTCGGTGAAGTGTCTGATCAGGCTTTGGCTTAGACACCTAAATTTTTCAAAACCGAAGTGGGTTAATTGTTGTGCCTTATAGGAACATTAATAGTTGAGGATAAGTTAGTTTAAATCTATCACTTCTAATCAGTGTAGGCTATCTATCTTTATAGAATAAAAGCCATCCAAGGATGGAAATGGTTTTGAGTGTGTCATAACTCAGATTAGTTATAGGTTGTGCAATTGTAAAATCCTCAATGATACAGGACTGAGCATTGTTCTAATCTATAGATTGTTCAGTCTCGTTGCATTGATAACAACACTCATAATATCTTCATTGTTTATTTTTTCATTCATAATACACATGTCATAAGCAGTTTTAATAGTAGACCCAAAACACAAAACATTTGTACTCCCTATATTTAATGAAGTCAAGACTGTAATGAATGTGAAACAAGGCTATTGTGTGGTGTGAATTCAACTAGGTCTTCTGTTCCTTTGACATAACCACTGGCCAATGCATTATGTATGTGGGTATTTTAATCAGCTACCTTTTTGACCTTTGGTTGGGGGGACATTCAGTATGCATTAACACCTGGTCGGCCTCACAACTGTTACACTTACAGACATGGCAGGTTTGTTTTACAGTAATAGTTGTTACAGGTTTAATTTTGGTTAGTTGATATGTGGTTGCTTAACTTATGACGTTCTTTGATGGAAAGGTTCAATGGAGTGTTTCAAAGCAAAAAGGAATTTGAAACATATCATTAGAAGACGTGTTTACCTTCATATTTGGCAATTGAGAATAAATGGTATGGATAAAGAATTAGCTTTTGCTTTCGATTCTTATTGTCGTCATGTTTTATGTACCTATCAATCATTTTAAATTAGAAGTTAAGTTTTTTTTAGCTCTTTGGTTTAAGTCACTGTTCCATGTAATTTACTCCAATTTAAGTCTACGTAAATGTTTTCAATTCCCCAGCCAATACCTGTCAAACTCTCAATACCTTCATAAATTTTATGCCACAGTATTTGCTATTATCTAATTTTTAGTTATTTTTCTTAAACTATATCCTTTTATAAATTGGGAAAAGACTATAATAAAATAAGTTTCTTAAATATGGTAAAATAACAAGTTTAATGTCTAAAAAAACTTTGAGAATTTTTTATTAAAGTATGGTATTTTGGTGAGGAAAGTGCTAGGTGAAAAACTTCAAATTAGTTTATACATTGACAATTAACTTAGAGCTCACTTATTAACCTAATTTCTCACACCTGTTTGAACTTCACTGTTTAACTAACTTTATCACTTGTAAAAACATTGTAACTGTTCCTAATTTGATTTTATTATTTCCCCTTGGTTCTTTGTGATTCATACTGTATATTTTCTTTCAGAATGCCAAGCTGGAAGAAAATGGAGTGAGAACAGGTTTGGAAGCAGCAATATCAAGTTGATCAAGATGTTGTGTCTGAAAAAAGTGTATCGTGATGAACTTCTGCAGCTGGCAATTTTGCTAAGCTTGCTACGGGTGGACAGGAGATCCTCTCTAAGTTACGACTACGACTCACCAGCTATCGGTGTAGGAATAGACGACATTCAGGGGTGGGAACACTCACACTCCCTCGTTCGCAGAGATGTGCAAATACACCCCAAGAACCTAGACTCAGTCCTTCTCAACTATGAACAACAAGTGTTTGATGATCTCAATTCCTTGGGCAGATACAACAGGATAAACTCACTTCAAGATGTTACTGCCTACTTACTAAACATTGACGGGAATAACGAAACAAATGACTCTGAAAGTTTGAATAACACACATTTGTTGAATCGTACAGATGAAGCGTCTAGGACGAGTGAAGGTGATACCGCTAGTGGTCTTGATTTGAGTGAGGTAGATGTAAAATTAGAACCTGGTGACAGTGATTTCAATCAGTATTCATTAAACGATACATTATTTGGTGCCAGCGAGTTTTTATTGAAGGCTGATGAGGATTACCAGACGGATACGTTTCTTGACAGTTTAGCTGTGGAGTCAAAAGCAGAACCTAGAATTGGAGATGAACTAACTCAGGAGGTAAGTGGCCTACTAATTGATCAGGGTTATGATTATTTTAGGATTATTTAGTTTCACTGTTAGTTACACCTATTGGTGTTCCTCAGTAGCCACATCAACAACATTGTTAAATGTTGTTTTGTGTTTATAAAACATAAGATTGTCCAAGAATTAAAGTTTTCACTTTTATAATGTTTACTTAACAGGTCTGAAGAAGTTGCTTCTATGACATTTAAAAATCTTTCAGCTCCCACATTTTTTAACCGCAAGTTTTGAAACCAACGTCTAAAGACATAGTAGTATTTTGTTGAAGATATTTTCAACTTAATATCTCAAACATTACATAAACATATCTGAGGTATCATCTCTTCTAAGCTTAACTATATTTAGCGTTCAACAGATTTTCCTATTAGTGGATCATGTGTGTAAATGCAAGCCTTGCCAAGTAATTTGCTTTCAAATATCCACATTCATTTTGGGAGTGGTGTTCTCGGAATTAGAGCTCTTTGAATGTTTTATGTGTTGACAGCATTAGATTTCACTGAAGATTTGCAAATGGGTGGGTCAATGCAATCCACATGTGCATCACTTGAAGTAAACAAGTGGTCCCCATTTGTCACTTGGTGTAGGTCAGCGACTGTTAAAATAGAATTTGAATATCTCGGGTCACCAAAGAACTTGCCAAGAGTCTTTGTGCAGTTGGTGAATGGGTTTGATGACCTGATCTTGTCCCTTGCTAAATACATCGGGACCTTGTAAAGTGAAACCTGTCTGCAGTAAAATATGCTTTTGGCTTTATCTGCAAGCTTTGGTTAGATGTCTTGACAGTTTCTATTTACATTTGATGACATAAAAGAAGAAGAATGTGCCTTTTGTCTTGGAAAGAATAATGAACAATGATGTCTTTTGAATTATCTTCAGTTCTATTTAGTACTTTATATTTTAAATCAAATTATTATAACAAAGGTCCATGGAAAGGAAACTTTTCTTAATGTACCTTTGCAGGGGCAAAGAAACTGATCATGCTGAGTTTTTCGAGTGTTGCACATTTTAATATTTTAAAGCTATTTATTAGCACAAATCAAAATAGATACCTTGAACCAGTTACATATGGGGATGAAGAAAAAACCATTGGGTATTTTAATCAGCTGGAAAGCCTTTGGACGTTCAAAAACATTGTGTGTAATACAATCAAAGTTTTTAATGGATCTGCTGATTAGTGGGTAATACCTTAAATAACTGTTTGCTAAATACCTGTTGCAGAAAACTGCGGATTATGCAAATTTCTTCTACATATTCTAATTAAACTTTGGTTGTTGTTGTTACTTATTTTGTTAATACAAACAAGCAGCATTTAAGTAAGTGATTCAATGATTTTGTCTATTATGATGGTTTTAGTGAACATTATACTATCGATATGTCAAACTATTGACAAGAATGAAACTATAGCTATAACTGATTTTAAATCATACATAATTTCGGTACACATGCGATTGCTTACAAGTTTACAACTGAGTTTGTAATAGCTGATATTTACTCCCTAGTGACTAAAAAGGCTTTTTACTTGAGACCCACAACGCATGTATCGAAACGGGTTTTTGCTGCAGTACTATGACGTAAACGTTTATTTCCTTTTTGTGAGTCTATGCAGAAGTTAACTTAGTCTGCTGACGTAACATATTTTAACCCCAGCTCCTTCCTGAGTTCTGAAATTCAACTGGTCTGTCAACTATTGAATACTTGTGAGACATAGCTCCAGTTAAGAAATGTGGCTTTGCTGAAAAACCTTTTGACACTGTTACATATTTTGTTCTAAATCATGTTTTGTGTATTTTTTGCAAATTTCTTATATTGGGAATAACCTATCACCGTTGTAGGTCTCATGGTAAGATCTACACCCGGGACCGCTTTAACTTTTTTGTTTTGATGTTCCCAAAGGCCAATAACATGATCTGTTCAAATATATTTATAGGCTGTATGTGTATACTAGCACAATAACATAAAAGTCAACAGATTTTGATGAAATTTGGTAGAAAAGTGTAGCCTATTGTGGAGGATAAGTAAACTATTATTGTAGTTTGCTTGTTTCATTATATATTAATAAAATTTAATTATTTATTTATTTTATACTAAGCTATTAACATTTTACTCATTAACACCAGCAACCCTAACTCATTAAATCTAAAATGATTTAAACAGGAAATAGGCTACATCTGAAGTGTTTTTTTTTTTAAGGAAAAATTTGATTGAAAATCTGATAGGCAAATGGAAATTTGTTCAGTCTTCAGGTTTAGCAATTATTATAGATTGACAATCCTACAACTAATAAACTTCTTTTAATCCTGAAACCTTTTTTGAATCATTCAGGAGAAAAAAATATTTTAGTTTGATTGTATAATTTGTGTCACAGTAGGTCTAGTATCTATTTTCAACAAATTACTGTGGCTAAGGTACAGTAACTACTGTAAACTCAATACTATACAAAATAACATTATCAAACAAACTATTTCACACATAAAAAATAACACTTTTAAATTAACTATTTCATTAGTTAGTTTTCTTAAAACCAACTTTTAACTGATATGTAACAGGTTTTGAAAATGCATACGGTATAAAATAATTGGTAAAGGTAACAGAAATTTACCTAGTAGTTTTTTGTTGCAAGTCAATCTGAATAATCCTTATACAGTACTGTACCTAGTTTAGCTTCGTAGATAAAGATTTAAGATTATTGTGATATTGACGCACAAGTGCAGTGGCATTACTTGGTGTGTTTTCTGGCACAGTGTTTGACAGCTGATTTAGTTCTCTTGTCAGAAGCTGAAAGCCATTTCATCAGCGAACCCATTCTAATGATTCAAAATTTATTGGTTTTACTGAATCGTATTCTTGGATCCCTGACACCCTTAAACACATAACGTTATCCACATTTCTCTTCCATCTAGGCCAGCTATTAATATAAACAGATAAATTTATTTGACGAATTTATTGCTCAGTGTTGGTTTGCTTCTGCAAGTAGTATCTCTTGTTCAACAGGGCTTCTCCAATGCAAGAAAGACTTTGCTTCCTTAAACTTGTTTATCTGAGGGAATAATGGAATAGGGAATGGGGTGCATTTTCCCTAATGCATTCCATTTAAAATGTTCAAACCTGCGTTATACCTATTTTCCACACTTTTCTACCAATAATAAACTATAGGTGTGTCTAACTATACATTTATTTTTGGTTCAAAATTCATCATGAAATCAATTTGTATTTAACCCATTCAGTGTTATGCAATGATATATCGTTGTGCGTCTTTTTCCCAAAAAGTGCTATGGAACGATATATTGTTGTTCGCATTTTATCAGAAAAGCGCTAAGCGACAATATATCGTGCCGGCACGACTTTCAATGGTGTGAGATTAAATGGGTACATCGGTTGACTCGGCTGTTGTTTCAAAACAGCGATGGTTTCTTTTGATTCCTACAATCAAGGCCTGATATATTGTTCTTTAGCACTTTTGAGATAAAAAAATTTATTTTTACTGATTTTTTCTCGCACACTAGACTTTGCTCCCTTGGCAAGCCTAGCACTTTTCGGACGTAATAAGTAAATAACTCTAGAAGCATTTTTTGGAAAATTACAAAAAAATATTCTAGCATTGAAAGGGTTAACCAGTAATTGAGGTAGTATAGGGAGGTAAACTTAGATATTTTATTGATCTCTTTATCGTACCTACGGTTTAAGTATCTTAATCTAGATCAATTGACTAAACATTAGGCCTACGAACAATTTAGACACTTATAAAAAAAGAAAACAACAGTAATTACCTTCTTCTTAATGAATACAGTATAGCATTTAAAAGTAACCTAGTCACTAATTGTGTTTAGCACCTTAAACTATTTGTTCATTGTAACTATTTTGCACCTGGAGCAGTGAGTGTAACTATTGAGATACTGTAGTTCAAATATAATGACAGAAACCATAGATTATACATACTCCCTTAGGGATTATGTTTAATCTATGCAAAAACCTAGTGGAAATATTTTTCATAAATTGTTAAAGCAAATCGACTAATGTTTTACAGATAGTTATTATACTTCTCTTGAATGATTATTATTATTAGTTTCTGGTTGCCGACTATTGTAAGGGGTTCCATAATCCAGAAGCTTGGTAGTGTAAACACATAAACACACATTCATAACATTTGCACTGTGCCGTGATTCTTTTTACATATTTAAACAAAACACATAAGCGGTGCTAAATCATCTATGTAACCTACAGTCTTGAGTATTCTAACAGGTTCATTCTTGTTTAAATTCAGCTTGAAACTAAAATGGGATTACTTTAAAAGTAATCTGTTCAAAAATAGATTATTGTCGATGTCGTTCATATAAAGTAGCCAGGTAAACAGTTGTCGGGTTACTCACACCCGTAGTCCTTGCTCTGCTTCCCATACCTGGCAGCAGTACCCCAGCACAGCTGTCAAGGGAAATATAATTTTGTAATGTATATGCAATTTAATGCCATTATTCAAAATGATTAAAAATAAAGTGATATACTGTTAGGTAGGATTGCTAAATTGAATTAGTAAAGTCTACGTAAAACTGTGTAAAAATATATTGTATAAATATATATAATATATATTAGGCTCAGGCTCACCGTTTCTTCACATAATTCTTAAAGTGTTATATGAGTATACTATGTGTTCATTTAGGATGCGGTTGTGTCGAGATCATGTGACTCTTGTGGACTTTTGACTTTTGTGTAAAGTCAAGCTTAGGCATAGAGCAATTAATTTGTCTCCATCAAGACAAAGGTTTTATAATTTTCATTTCCATTTCCTCATTTCCAATTTTTAATAGATTCCATTTTTTGATATCTCAACCTTGCTGTCTTCTTCAAAGGTTACAGTAATTGCTTTGTATGTGAAAAAGCTATAATAATTTAAATCAAAGAGACATACAAAAGCAATATAATACCATAGTAAATTCTGCTGTTTCTTGGTGAGTTTTTGCAGGCACTTCCTCAAAGTATCG